GAAAGACTTTAATGAAAGCGGGGAGCTTTAGGTGTTATTAGCGCGATATCTCCAGTCCGCCATTCGGGCCCGATTACAAGAGAGAGTGAGATGGAAGATAGAGAGTAAATCGAGCGACGACGTCCGTTCGGGCACTTGCTCGCTCACGTCGACCAATGGCCAACTAAGTAATTGCCCGACTGGAATTATCCTGCGAACGTGGGACCGAAAGCGACGTGACGGACGTTGATTAGTGCAATCGCCGATATCGCCAACGGTGACGCATATCGCGCGTCAATTGTGCCGTCAGTTATGTGTAAGAGACAAGCCGCTCCGAAATTAATCGTTGAAGACAGTTATTAAACTGCGTACTCGGGATTTAAGAGGAATTTTTTCAAAGAAGAGCTAGAATTTTATAGAGTCGCCCATTTTTGCCATTCATTTCCGAGCTGAATTTAAATTTCGAGAAAAGTTGGAAAAATAACTTTCATTGTCGTACGATTTACGTTGAGAATATAAAGATTAAAATTGGTATCCCGATATTCGTGATACGATACGGTATAAAATCTCGACTCTGGCAATTCGCGAAAGTTTAAACGAAGTACATAGTAACCCGGAAAAGGATCGTCGATTTTCCCGGAGGAAAGAACACATTCCGTACATACATACATATGGTATGCTACGTCTCGGCGACACTAATAGCGGGGCAAAGTTTGGTCGTCGCGTAGACGCGCGCCCTTGTTTTGCGACACGTTTCTTCCTGACCAATGAGCCCCCGAATATAGGAGCAAAGTTTTCGGCCCCTGTATAAACTTACTGGCGAAAGTGACGTATTTTGGGCTATTTGCTCGCGTCGGGGCTTTCTTGTCCGTCGACTAATTGGGCCCGGTCGTTAGACATTCGTCACGACTGGATGCACGCTTCATTAAAGCGCATTCAACGCGCGATGATAATACGCCGTCATCGAAATTCGGTCGATACTCTCTCGAGCTGTCCCCGGTTGGAAACCATTAGCCACGATCGCCTACAATACCAAATTAACAGCATTACATTCGGAAGGGAAGTGCGGTGCCACGCGATGTGCGTGAGCTCTCGCGTATATATATCCGCGTCTACATCTACGATATGTGCGTGTATGCACGCACAAGTACGCAACAACCGCACCGATGTGGTTTAACGACGACTAACGATCCGCGACGCCGGGATATATGGTCGTGGTTGTCCACGCCGATTGTAGAGGTACGGCGCTTCCGCGACGCCGAGCGATAAAATGATCCTCTCTCTCTCTCGCCCGGTCCATTTTTTTGTTTTACCTCTTTTTTTTCGGCTCGCAAAGTATCGATTATGCGCGGTCGTTGGCACAGAAAACACATTCGGCGGGATTGTCTCTTTCTCTCTCTCTCTCCCGGGAGTGCCGCGATGAGATATCGATCGCTCGGGAGAAAGAGAGAGAGGAAGAAATCGCGCGGCTTCTCTCAAAATCGCCGGTCGATCCGCGACAATGCTCCATGTTCCGGCTCTTCTTCGGGTATCTTCTCTCTCTCGAGAGAGAGAGAGAGAGAGAGAGGAACGCGCCTCGAAATAGGATCGCGTGACGGAAAGAGCGCGCGCGCCCGCGGCGTAAATAAGGTGCTCCTTAACGCCGCGCCATTCCTATGTAAATGCGCGGTGCCCGCGGATACCTACGTGGTGCATACTACTCTCTGGTAGATAATTTCTGGGCGCACGCGGGGATATCTAATTTTAGCGCACGCGGATATATACGTAACGTCGCGACCGCGCGCGCGAGAGTTCGAGGGACATTATCGATTCGAGTCTCGCGCTCACCGTGTAAATGTAAACGAGATCCGCGACACGGGATTGAGATTTTCATTCTGGCTACGTGCGCGCGCCGTCCGATCGACCAGATGAGATCGCTGAAAAAATCGCTGCTGCCGAAAAAAAAAAAAAGAAACGGAAATCGGATTTAATTAGAACAAGATTTCAATCTACTCGTCGGAGGATCGTATCGAGGATTCGAGACGTATCGCGAGAATTATAATCGTCTCGTTTAATTTATTCATCTCGGAGAGTCGGAGAAATGATGACAGTAAAATAGTACGTGAATATTAAATACGCTGCGATAGTTTTTCATTTGACGAATAAATAAATTTGATAAAAATGTCGTGAGAAATTGTAGAGTAAATTTGGTATCGTTTATAGTATAATCGACTTTAAAAAGAATCTTGTATTTCAACACACTTATTCTCGGTTATATATTATACCTTTTTTGAAAAGAACTGTATTGAGAATTCTAGACGTGTATCGCGAGAATTATAAACGTCTCGTTTAATTTATTCACCTCGGAGAGTTGGAGAAATGATGACACATTGAGAGAATTTTCTCTTAGAATTTACAATGGAAATCATAATAATCGTGGGACAATATGGTATTGAAAGAATTTTGTAAGAGTTTCTCTGGTTAATATTTATCTCAAGAAAAATATTAATATCTTTATTTTGCCATGTACATATTAATATTTTATTGTGGTAAATATTAATCGATCCCATGACGATAATTTTCAAGTCGGGTAAATTTTAAGAGAACATTCTCTTCTGTGCAGTAACAAAACATACATATAAAATACACTGCGATCATTTTCCGTTTGACAAATAAATAAATCTGATAAAAATATCGTGAAAAATTGTAGAGTAAATTCGGTATCGTTATAATATAAATCGACTTTAAAAAGAATCTTATATTTCACACATGTATATTTATCCTCGAATATAATACACCCTTTTGAAATTGAAAAGACAAAAACCGCATCAAGTATTCCAGATGTATCGGGAGAATTATAATCGTCTCTCGTTTAATTAATTAATTCATCTCGGAGAATCGGAGAAAGATGAATGTAAAGTATGCTGGGATAATTTTCCGTTTGACAAAAAATGAAATTTGCGATAAAAATCTCGTGAGAAAGTATAAATTCGGTATACTATAAGCGACTTTAAAACGAATCTTATATTTCACACATATATGCGTTATATCCTCGGTTTATATAATATTATACCTTTTTGAGATTGAGAAGACAGTGGGAACCCCCTCGAATATAATCTGAAAACCCGGGGCTATAAAGAGCGCGCTCGCGCGCCTTATCCCGATCCTGATTCCGTATGCACCGTGTACCTATTTACGTGACGTATACCTGGCCCACGGGGGCGCAATTCTCATTTTTCACGTTGCCGCGTGCGCGCCTATGGGATTCACGTAAATTCGGTATATATACGGAACCGAATAGAGTACATAACGGAGAGTAGCTTCGAAAGAGGACCGGAAGAGAGGTCGAAGTCGTCCCGACCTCTCGCGTCAACCTCGGGAAAAGTTTACAGAGCGCCACTGTGACACGACGAGAAAGGGGTTGAAAGCTGGACTTCGAGATCGTCGAGAGATGTTGGCGGCGCCGACCCCTCGTTTTCTGAGAAATTGCGTTACATTTGATTCACCGTCGGGGAATCGTTAGGGCGTTCGAGAGACCCCGAGATAGCGACCCACGTTTTTCAAACCTCCGTCGTTCTATGAAAGCCTTTCTTCTCTTTCTCGCTTTCTCTCCCTCCCGGGTTGTCTCAAATTTCAATTCGTAGCCTTCCGACACGCAATAATACTATACGGCTTCTCGTGCCACTACTCCTCGTTCCCGTAGTCATTTCGCCCCGAAATCCGATAATGTATCCGAATATTGAAGTATGCATTCTCTGCTTTGTCATTCATCGTGTCTCTCGCGTAAGAGAAGAAAGGAATATTTCGTTTACAATTCAAAACATAAGACTTTTAATCATACTTGAAAGCTTCACCGAGCTTAAAATTCCTGCTCTGCGTTCACAGATGAATAATACCGACTTCCAAATATTTTCATATCGATATATATATCGATATATACTATATGTATCGCTTTATTCCATGTTCTTTGCATTCTTATAAAAGTCTGAATAGAGGATCTAGTTCTTTTCATACACAAATTTTCTAGGGCAACGCGGGTATTCTGGAAATATTTTTCATTTGAAACAGCTGGAAACTGTTTGGTTTGCCTTGTCCGAATGTGATTTTAAAGAAATCTTTAACAAATAAGTGTGCGGTTTCTGTTCAAGTCACATAATTATCGAGAATACAATATCGAGTTGACATTACGAATTAAGTACGGGTTTACGAGAGAATTATTCACATATGAAATCCGACCAGGATAACCGAACATGCTGGTTTTCGAATAGAACAAGTTGATTTTTTTTTTTTTTTTAATTCCCAGACCATCACGGTTGTTGAAATTCATTTTAGTTCGTCCTAGTTTCAGACTTGCAATACACGAACGAAAAATCAGATGACTTTTATGAAAGCTTATTAAAACTTTAGAGGGAGCTCGAAATCACGGTGCGCTTACTCAATATCAAAATTCGATATCGCGGCGATTCGATAAAAATAATTCTGATAATACGGGAGATAAAAGAATGTAAAAATTGAGTGCCTTACATTCGTCGTCCCTTAGATAAAATCAATAAAAAAAAAAAAACATTGGGCATTCCTCTCTTAGATAAACAACGTAATACTCTTATGGCACAATACGGTGCATCGTGCACACGCATGGTTTTATCCCGTTGCAGTGCTGCGAGATGAATCTCTCGATGTCATGTCGATTCGATAAAAATAATTCTGATAATATGAGAGGCAAAAGAATAAACGTAAAAAATAATAAATGTCCTACTTTCGTCGTTCCTTAAATAAAATTGATCAAAGAAAGGTATTGTGCGTCCTTTGCTTAAACAAACAATACCTGGTTTTGTTCGTTCTATTGCAGTGCTGCGAGATGCATTTCGATGAAAATAATTCTGACGAGAGCTAAAAGAATAAACGTAAAAAAAAATAAGTGTCCCACTTTCGTCGTTCGTTCCTTGGAAAAAATGGATAAAAAAAAAGGTCGCGCATCCCTTCCTTAGACAAACAACGCAATACCTTTGTGGTGCATCATGCATGGTTTTGTTCTGTTGCAGTGCTGCGGGATGAGTTTCGCGCAGAGCCGCAGAACACGAGGGTCGCCGCCGGGGAGACGGCTTTGCTGGAGTGTGGACCGCCCCGGGGCCATCCGGAGCCGACCCTACATTGGAAAAGGAACGGTCACATAATAGACCTGGAGGCGACGAAACGGTGAGTCTTCTTTGTGCCGACGAGTCCCTTTTGAATTCGCTCGACATATACCGCGACGACACCGAAAAACGCGGCGCAACGAGATTGCACGCGGGCGAGAAGGCGTAAACGATTAAATATATATACACCCGGGATCGGACTATTTTGGGACCCATCCGGGGACCCTCGATCTTTTCCAGCTGCCGCGTGAAAATGACTTATACCTTTTTTTTTCTCTCTTCTTCCCGCGCTTTTGTCCGCGACTCGCTGGCGCAACCGGGACGCAAAACTGCTTGTCTGTATATACACACTGAACGTTCGCGCAACGTTGTAATAAACAAGCGACATAAAACGGAATGCAAATTGCGTTAACCGTAATGTAAACAAATATAAATAAATTTGCTCCACCTCGAAAAAGTATAAGCGGGCACAACTTGTTTTGACGCGCACTTCGTTACTCGGCCCCCGCGGGCGATTAATTCGATCTTGTCACCTGGGCCGGCGAGTGAAGGTGAAACAATAATAAATATACTCCGTTTGCAATTTGCGGGCCCTTTAAAAGCGCGCGCGCGCGCACGCGTCGGCACTCGCTCTCGAAACCTGCTCTCGTAGTATACCCGATTAAATTGCACGCACGTACACATTTACGTATATGTACACGCATTTACTGGCGCGACTAGCAGCTAGCACCTATATACAAGAATTTCGCGCTGTCTGTGTCTCCGGCATGTAATAATGTCGCGGCAGTAAGAGCAACTTTTACGCTCGCGGGATTACGGTTGGGAGAATCTACTTTTATAGACACGAGGGAGAGAGAGAGGGTGCGGAGGAACTCTAGATTAACTTAATTCTAACAGCGACGCCGGGGGTAAAAGGGAACGTCGCCGAAACAAAAAATCGCATCAAACGCCGCTGCTAACGTGAATACGGTCGGTTATCTCTCCTCCTCTTCTTTATTTTTATTTTTTTTTTTTTTTTACAAATCCGATTTATCTTGATTTAAGGGTAGAATGTGTCTTCGCGCGCGAACGGAAAATCCATTTTGATCCTCAAAATAGCTACACGCGTCAAAGTTTATTTCGCGCGACATTCGTGTTTATTAAATATTTGCACGTAAAAGTATAAAATAAAAAAAAAACATTAAATATGTTATAACTCTTTTTATTTATACTCTCGCAATTTCTCGGTTCAGTTAGAATCATAGTCCGGGTAAAGAGAGACGGCGGATTAAATTAACTATTACCAATTTGCGGGTTCGAATTAAATAACACCTATTTTCATTCGCGAAATTCAATTTCGTTCGCTTTTTGATATTCCTCTATTTAGCCACCGTCGCTGAAATTTTCATCAATCGGTGACAAATCCGTAACACGATGTGTCAATAAAATTTCCCGCTCTGCGGCTTGCTGTTTGAATAATAAATCACACGGTAATATTCATCGCGCAATAAAGCGCATAATCGATAGACACACGTCTCGCATTTATGTGCATCGTTCTCGATATCTAGAGTCATCGCGATATCCAGGACCCGAAGAGGGAAGTGAGAGAGAGGACTCGAGAGACTCGCAAACTCGGCGCGGCGCAGGAATCGACGCATAAATTCGACAGAGTAGGAAAATTTTACCTCTCTCCGGTCTTTTCCGTCCTCTCTATATCTCTCTCTCTACTCTCCGGGTACTTCTCTTCCAGGATCAGGCTTTTAAACGTACGCTTGCGCGAGCCACCTCGTTGTAACGACCCGTGCATACTTTCGCGCTCCTCCGTCTGCTATTCGTATCTCGAAACGGGCGATTTTTTCTCCCCGAATCCCCATGGATCGACTCGATCAAACTTTCATGGGGCGCTGAATGCCTCTTAGTTTTTCTCGCGCTGCGATCTCGCCCTCTCTCTCTCTCTTTTTTTTTTTTTTTTTTTTAAAGAGAAAAACCCTCGCCATCTCCCTCCGATCGAGTTCTCTGTCGGAGATAAAAAGGAGATTCTTATTATCAAACTGTTCCTTTAAACGCGCGATAAAAAATGGTGACGCGACTGAGATGCAAAATTTATGATCCGCGATACGCTGCGGAGAAGAACAGAGGATGAGAACTCGGAAATAATTTATCAGTTTAATAAATGATTTTTTTCCAACTTATTAATCCCGTCTATTATTTTCGCGCGATTTTTATTTTCATTATTTCTTCGCGTATAGAATTTATCTTCATGCGGTTTATTGCCCCGCGTTTCATGTAATTACTTCCATTTACCGTCACTTACGCCGTATTGTACGCGCTGGCTTAACGCTGTCTGAGGGGACACGGCACATAAGAGCACGTGACAAACGATTTTTTTTTTTCCCTTCTCTTTCCCTTTCGGTTCTCCCGACAGGGAGGGAAACCAGAATGGAGACATTTTTTTCCGGCGAGGTCCTTCTCTCTTTCCATCGAAGGCGAAACGAAACTCGCACAGCTCGCTCGACGGCTATTTTCCTCTCTCCTTCGTCTCCCGATCAATAGAGGATACTCTCTCCTTGGTCGCGACGGGAGCTTTCGCGGAAATTTCCTCCTCCTCTCTCTCTCTCTCTCTCTCTCTCCGCCATCACCATCCCGGCGTCGGATTTACCGATGGAAGCCCGAAGCCGCGATAAATTAGGACAACCGATAGGAATTAAATCCGGCCGTATCGGAACGCCGAGACCGCGTTTTCCTTCTCTCTCGCTCCCTTTCTCTTCCACCAGCGCGAAACGTGTGGTAAAACGGGACGTGGAGAGAGCGATGGAAGAATGGTCGCGTGAAGAGGAAAGAGAGAGGGCAGATCAAAGCAGAGGGAATGGAGGAGGTAATCGAGCACCACCGACGCGAAAATTAATTGACACTATAAATTAGAGAGCGCGCGCGAGATCGAGAGAGAGCCCATCGATCGATCGCATCGTCGCCGAATAACATCGCTCTCCGTACGCGCGCGATATTGTGCATGCGCACCCCTCAAACGAGAGACGGCCGTTTAATCTTGGGACCGCCGACGCGGAAGAAGAACGAGCCCTCGCGAAGGAGGATCCGAAAGGTGTCGAGGAATGCCAAGTACGCGTCGTCTCCTCTCGCATAAATAATATCGGAAAGGGTTCACCGAGTGCGTGCACCAAAGTTCTCGCGAGTGCCGACGTCTAGGAACGATCAACATATGAGCTGTCATCCGCTAGAAATTATCTCGGGAACTTCATAATATCCGCGTTAATTTCTTAGTCGCAAAATTACGCGTATAATATATTATATTATAATGCGCCGAGTATATGTAGGATGATGCATTCCTGAACTGTTATTACGCCTTCTCTCTCCCATCGGTATTTAGAGACGCTTAAAGACGTCGTTGATCTTACGGGCGGAAATTAATCGTCGTAATTTTCGTCGCCGTCGCTCTTATCGCGACGGAGAAACCGTCTCCGCGGCTTGATTAATCGTTCATCGGGCGTTTCAGGATAACCCTCGTGGACGGAGGTAATCTAATGATATCCGACGTGAGGCCGGCCGATCAGGGCAAGTACCAGTGCATCGCCGAAAACATGGTCGGCACCAAGGGATCCGCGATAGCGACCCTCACGGTTCACGGTAAGCGTACAACACGAACTCGTATATCCAATTTCCCACGTACAATTTTGATTAAGAAGCAGGCATAGATACGATCGACCTCGGAGCATTTCATGTTAATCCCGATTGCCCGACAAGATCTGCTTCGCGTTAACAATAAGTCAAAACGTTCAAGTTGTTATAGTGTTCAAGATCTTAATATCCTTCTTTCTATTTTTTATTTTGTACACAGTAAGAAAATTTGTGTTGTCTTAAAACACGGTTCCCGTGAACATTTTTGTGTTCGTTATTTAACATTAATTGAACTTTAATGTTAAATTGTTCAAACAACCGAAGAAGTGTGTAAAAGTAACACATAATGTCCATCTACTTTTAATTTTACACGATAAATATGTTCTGTTTCATTAGTGATATACGATTTATCTGTTGAAATTTACAGAAAAAAATGTTGGTTTTTTATTTCATGAGTGGAAATGATAAAATATAAAATTAACATAGTTTTAGTCAATTTTTACATTAATACTCTATGTTAATTTCACACAAAATTTATTTTAAATTATTTCAAGTTTTGCATTTCTTTTGTATTAAAATATCAACACAGCATTCGTGTCTTCGTTTAACATATCCGCATATTATGTTAAATTAACACAAATATTTTTGTCGACCGTTTGGGACATGTGATATCTATTAAATTTAATACAAATTTTTCAACTGTGTACATATAATCAATATATGTCATATTTCCAATCTAATCTCTGATATTACAATATGTAGATTTCTTAAACAAATATCTATCGAGAATTGAAAATGAGATATTTTTATTCTCTTGGTGTATCCTACTTTTCTGTCATATTTTTCTAATTTTATTTATAGTCCCTTATTTCTATACCATCTCCTCTCTCATTTAATCAATTTTTATTTTTATAATGATAATTTATGGAAAATAGAGCAATATATTTCAGTATTTTATGCGAACGGCATTGTATAAATATTTATTTGCAGTATTATTGTTACACAGAGAGAATTTTCTCTTAGAATTTATTCATGGTATCGTAGGGCAATATGGTATTGGAAGAATTTTACAGGAGTTTTTCTGATTAATATTTAATACAATAGAAAACATTATCTGATATATCTACCACAATATATGTTCGATTAATTTTTACTAAAATAGTATTAATCAGAGAAACTCTTATAAAATTCTTCCAATTCTAATACCATACTGTCCTACGATTACCATAATTTTTAAGATAAATTCTAAGAGAAGATTCCCTTTTTGTACTGACATATTTTAATTTATATAAATGAAATAGAGTATTTCAGTATCTTCAGTATCCTAGAACGGCATCAGATACATATTTATTTGCAGTATTATTGTTACACAGAGAGAATTTTCTCTTCGAATGGATCCATGATACCATGATAGGACTCTATGCTATTGGAAGAATTTTATAAGAGTTCCTCTGATTAATATTTATCATGATAAAAAATATATTACCTAATATCTACCACTCTTACTAAAATACATAGTAAAATTAATCAAACATATTTTACATTTTATTGTGGTAGGCATTAATATATTTTTATTGTACAATAGTAAGTATTAATCAGAGAAACTCAAAATTTTCCAATTCTACCATATTATCCAGCGATTACCATGATTTTCAGGTCAATTCCCGAGAGAAAAGTCTCTCTATGTACTAACATCTTAATTGATATATAAAATAGTTATTTATTCCAACTGTCTAGTCGATTAACCTCGCGCTCCAGTAAAGTAATGAAATTACCTTAAATAAATAATCTTCGAGTGCTGGGTTTGCGATTGCGGAGCCGGGAATCCGGTGAAAAGCCGCGGGCTATAATTCGGGATACCCCCGAAGGGCTTTCCAATCGAATCCTCGTTCTGTCTTTGCAGTGAAACCGTACTTCGTGGCCACGCCGTCGAATCAAACGATCCTCACGGATCAGACGGCGGAGTTCGTCTGCAGGGTGGGTGGCGACCCGTCACCGGAGATTCTGTGGCGGCGAAACGACGGCAAGATGCCGATAGGTCGGGCGCATATCCTCGAGGACAAAAGTTTACACATCGAGCGGGTGAACCCCCAAGATCAGGGAACGTACATCTGCGAGGCGAATAACGGCGTCGGGACGATATCAGCGAGCGCCACTCTTACCGTGCACTGTGAGTACTCTAATCTTCGTCCCCCTGTCTCTCTCTCTCTCTTGCTTCCTTCCCTGTGTAAGGAGCCGCTCGGCCGTGAAATTAATTACGCGCCCGGTGTACGATTATCGCGCCGGTGACGAGTGAAGGGGTTGTTGCCGCACAAGAGGACAGAGACGCAACGCCCGCGCATTATCGCCGCATATTAAGCCGTGAATGTGTATATCCCGTCGCGTCGGATGTCGACTTTTGCTTGCTTGACTTGGACGCGAATCGCGCAAATCCTGCGGCTTGGAAAATACGAACGTATTGTCGGAGTCGCTCGAAGCGAGCGAGAGATAGGGACGCGGACAAGGTAGATAGTTCAAACTTCACGCTTTGTTAGATAAACGGGGTAAATTCTCAACAGCTATATGTAATCGGTAACATTATTGCAAACTGTCGGATGTACCTTTTTTTTCCCCTCCAAGATTTATTCCCTTTATTTAAACGACGAGCTATTTGAATTGTAATCCTACGTCTCTCTACTCGCGTTCTTATTTCCGTGAGAAACGCGACTTCTTCATGCGAAGAGATTTAGAGATTGAGAGGATGAAACTTAATTCCACAACTGACTTGCATTGCGCTAAATTCAATATCAAATATAATATGATAATATAATTTGATATAATGTAATAATAAAATAATTGTGATAGAATAATATGATAATATAAATTAAAACGGGAAGATGGGGTATTTCTATCGTGGAAATAAATCTGCTTTAAATTCATAATAATAAGATGCTCGAGATGTATATCGTATACACAGAATCTAGCAGCTTGACTCATTTATTTCAAAGTTAGGATTATACGAGTTAAGGGTTGAACGAGCGTCTTTATCGCCAAATATACGGCAAGGATACGTGTATCGAATACGGACCGTTTGTTACAGCGAGACCGGTATTCACCAACTTCCCCAAGGACGAGACAGTAAGCTCCGAGAGCGACGTTACCTTCTCGTGCGCGGCGCGAGGCGCGCCAAAGCCGTCGATATTTTGGACCCGGGAGGGCTCCCAGGAGCTAATGTTCCCCGGCCACACGTATCAGAGCCACTACACCGTCACGGAAAACGGAAGTCTGAGTATCAAGGGCGCCGTCAGGAAGGACGAGGGCCACTACGTGTGCAGCGCCATTAGTCAGGCCGGCGCCAGCACCGCGACCGTATTTCTTCAGGTATATGTGTGAACCTTGTAAAATGTACGTCTCACACGACAATTATTCAACCGCGCTCCAACAACTCCATATGATCTCGAAAGTTTTTTTCGCACATTTATATAAACTGTTATTTTCGTGTATTCGTTAGAAAATAGATTTTTAAACACTCTGTCTTAATTATATATCCTTTTCATTTTTAAACATGGAATTTTCATGCTCTGTGCAAGATTAATAGATCATAAATTAGTAACAATTTATGATACACCCGTATAGAGTTGTAAGAGCAATGAGATTGTGCGCTAAATGGACATGCAACAGTTTAAAATATACAGCCAAGATAAATCTCGTCCAGGGTGAGAGAGGCGAGCGTGCACATTAAGTGGTTCATTTTCTCGATACATATTTATATCATCCCCTCTACTCCTCGCTCTTCCGGATGAGTGCAGAATTACCATTCTGGCCGGTGCTGCACACCGCGATCCTAGCCTGAAGGGAGTTGCCCCACATTCTGAATAAAATTCTTATCTACATATAGGGAGTATTACGGCGAATCAACTTTGGCGAATGGAAACTCGGTAACTTCTCCCCGCTCGGAGCGAGGAGCCAAAGTTGTAAGGTGTAATATAGAAAAGAAACTTTTGAATTACATATTTTCACTCCAACGCGAGCTATTCGACCGAACTTGCTGGATGCAATATTCGCTTAATTCAGCGGCTAAGTAGGCGCGGCTAGCTGGTTCATAATTTCCGATATTCCAGCTATAAAAACGAGAAAAGTATGACTTTAACAAGTATAATTCCGGATTATTCAAATATTGGAAAATTACGCGTTTTAATCGCGTGAATTTTAAGCATCCGTGACACTTGCAAATTCTCTATAATTCTCTCCTATATATTTTTTTTCAAGAAATCAAAACTTTCATCATGATTATTTTATACAAAATAAACGTACCTCCCTATTTCGAATTCTCGTCTCTTCGCATCTTCCAATACACAGTTCCCTACATCTGTTGTAATAAAGGTGACGTCCGCCGAAGAGACACCGCCGCCTATAATCGAGCTGGGTCCGGCGAATCAAACCCTGCCGTTGAAGAGCGTCGCCTCGTTGCCCTGTCGCGCGGTTGGTACACCCACGCCGAGGGTTCACTGGCACAAGGAGGGTGTGCTCGTACGTCAAGGCGGCCGGATCACGATGGCCATCAACGGCACGTTGTTCATCGACGATCTGCACACCAACGATTCCGGGCTGTACACCTGCATCGCCTCGTCCGAATCCGGCAACACCTCGTGGTCGGCCTACCTGCTGACGGTGAGTTCCGGCGCCAGTTTTCATCGCACGCCCGACGTGTCGGCGCTGCCGCAGAACCCGAGCAAGCCGCGAATAGTGAACGCCACCAGTAACTCGATCACTCTGACCTGGAGCCCGGGCCAAGAGGGTCAGAGCAAGATCATCGGCTACAATATCGAGTACTACAGCAGCAACCTAAACACCGGCTGGGTGGTGGCGGCCACGGGTGTCCTCGACGACATCTATACCGTGAGTATTACATCGTGGATCGGCGATGCTTGACCTCCTTTCCTTTTATAGTAGCTTACACTCCCCCGAGTCTCAACGATCTTTTCAAGTAGATATTTTCAGTTTCCCATCTTGTATCGCTTCGAAAGTGTATTTAGAACGTGAACTGCTGACGAAGGTAGTTTGCGACATCATGTGCGGTGTTGAAAAACGGATCTATAAACATAAATTGTGTTCACGTTATATCGCAGTTAAAAATTTAATATCAAAGTTCTATATACGCTGGAACTACGATCTAATAAGAGGACCAAGAGAGGCGGCTAATCCTACAAAGAAGCGGTCAACTGCGTCTAGAGATACTTTAATATTCTATATCAAACATCTCGTATACGTTGAACTTTGTTACCATATACAGTATAATGCTTTTGAGCAACCTTTGAAAAGAGAATAAATTAGTATCTTCAAAGATAAGTGACGTGACATAAAAAAATGAATATTCGCGGTAGCCAATAAAAAAAGCGGTATAAAATGTACTAAAACATGTCTTTGTGTATAATATAGAGATTTTTAACTTTATTTCTTCATATAAATTCATCCACTATTTAAATTCATTTTTTCACTTTTTTTTTATTATCGATCTAACAAGTTTTCTGCTTCAACTTATCAACAGGTGACAGATTTAAGGCCGGAGACCAATTACGTTTTCCTAGTACGGGCGGAAAATAGCCACGGGCTCTCGCTACCCGGACCATTGTCGGACGTGGTGCAAACTACTAACGTAAATCAACATACGGTACCACAAGTGGAACTGACTCGTGCCAGAGATCGGTTGAACAGCGAGATTTTACATCTCAAAGAGGTGCAACCGTCGACTAGCACTAGCGTCAAAATTATGTGGGACGTAAGTGTCGCTTGAAATTTCCCGTGTCGTTCTGCCTACATCAACAGCACAACGCAACAATGTACAGGAATATCGCGGAAATTGCGCTAAAGCTTGAAAATTTTTAAAAATAAATGTTTACCTGTGTAAAAATATTGCAAAATATTTTGTTATATTTTGCATATATATCTTACAAAATATTTTGTTTGTTAAAAAAAAATATAGTTTATTTTTTAAGGGTATTTTAGTTTAGTAGAGAATTAATTTAACATTTATTCGATATAAATCTCTCTTATAAAAAAATAGAAACTAAATTTAATATTAATTAATAATTAAACAATTTTATGCAATTTTTTCTTTATTTAAACTATATTAAAAATTTTTCCTGAGAGAGAAAATATCCGACATTTGAGATATATTCCGACGCGACAATTAGAATTGGAAAACATTCCAATAACAACAGCAAGAATTAAAATAACACACTACAATCTAAATTTTAGATTCTCGGCGCGGCGGATTTAGTGGAGGGTCTTTATATACGGTATCGCGAGGTTTCCGAGAAACCAGAATATCAGATGGTTACGGTGCTCAATGCCGGCGCCACCAGTTACGTGCTCACCAATTTAAAGAAGTATACGCGATACGAATTCTTCCTGGTCCCGTTCTACAAGATAATCGAGGGTCGACCGAGCAACGTGAAACTGGTCACCACTCTGGAGGATATGCCCTCGGGCGCTCCCGAGAACGTTCACGTAGGGATGATAAATATGACCTCGGCGTTCGTTCGGTGGTCGCCGCCGCCGAAGAACACTCAAAACGGTCAATTGATCGGTTACAGGGTAAAAATTCTTTCTTTAAAAGATATGTCGCGAGAATTATTCTTCTCTTTATTTAATCTAACTGTCAATATTCATATTTGTCCAATTTAGATTCAGATCAAGAGCAATAGCAGTAACAAAATCCTCGGTCAAATGTCCCTGAACGCGTCAACTACGTCGGTGATCATCAACAGTCTGACTACTGGCAGTTTATACACGGCGCGCGTTGCTGGACAAACTCGCGTCGGGCTCGGTCCCTACTCCAGTCCAACACTGTTGAACATGGATCCGGGACAACTGACGCAGTTACCACCCCGAACCGATCCCAGTCACGGAGGCGCGTCCGTCGTCGGAGAAACGTGGTTTCTCGTGCTCATGATAACGACGATATTCATCGTTGTCGTCGTGTTGTTGCTAGCCGCGCTGTACGTGAGACGCAGGCAAGCGATGAGCAAGCAATTGGGTCACTTGAACGTACCCGTGGGTACCGCAAACGATATATGTCAATTAAACAAGGATACGCTCTGGCTGGAGCGCGGTTGGCGTCCTACCAATACACTCCAGGCTGCCAACGACAAGGATTGCGAGACCAAGTTGCTCAACAATCAACATATGCTCACGGCCGGTATAATGGGTATGACTGGCTCGGAGTACGCCGAGGTAAATCTAACAACGTTTTATAACACGCGGAAGCAAATGCAGGCACCGCCACCGGAACCGTACGCTACCACGACTCTGTGCGTGGGTAGTCGTAATTCGGACTCGATCGAAACGAGCTGTCAGAAGTCGAACTCTAGCGACTCGTGTCTAAAACCCGATTATTCGAGTCTGGACTCGAATCAGGAGCCTAACAAATCCACGGTATCGCCGAGTAGCGATAACATGAGTGGCGGCGACGCTACCTACGCGGACGAGAATCTAGAAATACAGAGGAGGCAGTACAGAATAGCGGGACCAACGAGCAGCGACGTGCCTCAGACGAGTATGCCGATGCCCAACTGGTGCGACATGTTACCTCCACCACCCGAGCATCCGCCTCCGCTCGGTACGTCAATGGCCACCGGCCGAATGCAACAGCAGCATCCGCAACAACAGCAAGTGCCGTTCAGTCCGCATCTCGGCAAGAGAAGCGTTCAAAACGACCTGGATCATTGCGGTAGTTCTGGTGCTGGCTCGGGCAATCTACAGAGTCCACCTACTCCGCCCATCAGAGTAACCAACAGCTTCAGTCCGTCACCGACACCATGGAACAGTGGTGGGCAGAGTCAACAACACTCTGAACCCGGGGTTCTCCCGGTATCCGGCAATCTACAGGTGTCACAAGGAAGATACACGACGCTACCGCCGCAGACTAATCCGCCGCCGTTGCCCTCGTTCCCGCAGACTTTCAATCATTACGACTACAAGAATCAGGAGAATGAGTACGAGAGCGGTTCCGTCATTTACGGTCATCATCATCAAAACGGTCTATCGGACGACTACGGGGTCCGCGAATCCGCGTTTGCGCGCTCCTCCAATCAACAACAGTCGCATCTGACGCCGTCGTCCGTGAACGAGGAGCTCTATCGGCACAGGGATGATATGTTTCACAATGACAATCTTTATCAGCCCGAAAACGACGAGTGGGACAGGAAGTCGTGCGACTCCAACACGCATTCGGACGCATGTTGCTCGTGCTCGGAATCGAGTTGCCTCTACGCCGATACCGTGCAGTACAACACGCAACAATACGGTACCGCATGCGGCCACGGTAGCAGCAGGACAACGGGTTCCCGAAGCAGGAGTAACAGGAGTCCGCGAAGGAGAAACAGAACGGCCTCGCCTACGTACAGTAGCGACAGCAATTACTCTTGCATCCCTTCGAGACAGTGCGGAAGCATGAATTCGCAGGAAAGGTTGAGGCATAATCGTAGTAAAGGTAACGAAAAAAACTAAAAAAATAAAAATTTGTCGACTTAAAAATTGTATCTCTAAATTTGTATGTCTTGACTGTTGTATTTCTTTCGTTCCTCAGACAAGTTACCTGGCTTTTCGAGAACGAGTGGTTATAGCCAGCACAATTCTTCGGCCTCGAATACGATGAGTAGTACGGGCAGTCAACGATACAATAAGCTAAATAGTATCTTCGCAAGCGGCAATAACCCGATCGTTCCAACGGAGTCTAGTCGACTGGGTGATCACCGTGAGAGCTAAATTCTGCCTGAACGTATAACAAGTATAGGACGTGCCTGAACGAACGGCCTTCGATCACAACGAACGATCGTAGTCTGCATTACGGGAGGCCGTTACGCAGTCAGCAAACTTGTCGCGGATGCTCGTCGAGCTACTGTAAGCGCGCCTTTATATATATATATATATATATATATATATATATATATATATATATATATATATATATATATATATATGTATATATATATAGTTGACGGCCCGCAAGCCGATGTACTCTGATTTAATTTGTTGATTATATATACAAGCTCATGAAAGTGAGTTCGGTAACAAAGTTGCGGGGCGAATCTCGCGCTTTTCTGTGTACCATCGCGTTACATAATATTAAGAAGGTTTGATAGATTTCGCAAAGTAATTAGTAAGTATTCCATGACTGAGAACGCTTACGTTTAGCCGATTATATGCGGCGGTAGCTTAAGCTCGTAGAATAACCCTATGTTCGTACGAAGCGCAATAACTGTCTTCTATCGCGGAAGCAACACAATCTCGACACTTGGAGATTCCAAAATAAAAACCCCGTGATTGACACTCGCGACGCTTTTCATTAACGCTTTAACGCCGGTATAACCCGTTATATACATGACGTTTTCGATCGTTTTGTATTCAGTATTGGGCTACAAAGGGGCTTTCAGAAAAAAAGAGGATCACAACGCGACGCTTAATTTTATTTCTTTTTCACACAGATTTACTGCCAAACAGACTGATGAAAAAGTTTTACTGAACTTTACTCGTATTTGCTTTAAGTCTCATTTTATATAACGCTGCAAAATGAAAACGATCACAACTTTCGAGCGATATTATGGAGAAAAAAGAGAGGAAAAAAAAAGTTGTGCGATATTTTCATTGCAAATTGTGGTTTGCTGTCGCGTCATGTTCCTCGAACGAAGATTCAATCCCCAAGCTGCCAGACCGGTCTAAATATTCCAGTCGGTACTTTTTAAACTTTATTATACTTTTGACTGCTATATACTGCCATTCCCGTTGACGTAGCTCGCGCATCACGTTAAGGTACTCTACTATTTTAATTAAGTTATCTCTTAAATATAACTCTAAAAGTCATATTTTAACTCGCGAATATCTACGACCTACAAATGGTCTCGCGCGACCGGTTTCCGGTTTAATATCAGCGTATGAATATCGCAATCTGACATTTCAAAGTTTTTTATATGACAATAGCATAATCGGAGAGAAAAATACGTGGGTGGAAATTTCATGGCGTAACGGGGCTTGTTACTTGAACGCGAATAAAGAAAGGCGCGTACGAATCAAACAAACGCAGTTTATCAGTATTTTACTAATTGTCGAAATTTATTCGCGAGAAGACGGGCTTAAAATAATTTCAATTTAGTTTCATATACTAATGAAACAGAATTAAGCTTCTTGCAGAAGTGTAAAGTATATTCTTGTAAAAAATAACATTTTTGATTAAAAAAAAAAATTATGATTAAAAAAATTGATTAAAGTTGTTGAAACAATCGCAAAGAAATGCTTCGAGACTAATTCTTTAAGAAGAGACTAATAAATAATGAGTATACATTTTTATACGTAATTGTATGGAGATTAATATTACAAAAATGAAATTATTTCAAAGATTCTTTGAATGATTCTTAAAACAATATGATTTTGTGATTTCTTTGTGTACGAAAATAAAATAATTCACACAAAAGTCCCGAAAGCAATCAAACGAATAATCTATTATATGCAAGATTAAATCGATCGACTGTATTTGCTTGTTGTTGGCGTGGAATAATCCTTTCGTTACGATTACAGTTTTTATCAAAATTGTTCACTTCCTGCAAACGAAGTAATATCTTTTTATCATGCGAGACTCAAACGTATTATAACGCAACTTGTAGTATACAGCAATCACTTATATTCATATTCCATTTAAATGGTATATAATTTATAAACGAGTTCCTTCGATTCTGACCGAACGTTTCTCATTCACGTGTTTTGACAATTGAAAACTCAGAATCAAACGATCGCGTTTAATACGGCTAAATGCGGAATGTGAAGCTGGCAAGCCTCTATTGTCTTTCTTAATTTGAACAATTAGAGGGGGGTGCGATTACAGTCGTGGTTCTTGGTGAAACACGGGTGAAACCTTAATGGATAGGCGAGCATATAATCGTCGTAGCGAAAGGATTAACGTGTCGTGCTCGCACATTGATCATACAAAGCGTGGCATTTATTTTCGACAGCCTGTCCTGGCTACGCGCGACAAATGAAACATTATTTTGGATATAACGTTCCTAAATCTTAAGGCGACCCTGGGGAGGGGGTTAATTTCCACGAAGAGGGGCGACGTATATAAATCTTCCAAAACGAACGCACGTAGTAATACGTTTTTAACGAAACGAAGTAACAATAAACGCGTAATATATATATTATATATATATTATCATATCAGACACACTCGCAAACGGTCTCTTGTATAAACTGTACAAAGTTATTCTAACGAGATTAGTCATTAGTTATTAATTTATACGCCGTATCGACTAAAATCCGTATTACGTAAGCGACAGAAAGAGAAAGAGAGAGAGACAGAGACATGTAAGGTGTTTCGTGTACTCTGTTCATTACACACGCACGCAACACAATCTGATATATAAAATTGAAAGCTAGAAATGTGCGTTTCGAAGCTGTACTGCCGATGCAAAGTGCGTTAATATTTTCGAACGCGTACCTGATTCCGATTTTATCGGATGTTTCCGTCGTCGCGGTCTAATTTTCTCGTGGAATAAATAATTATACATAAGTGCGGATCATAAATTTAAATACCATACGTTCACAAAAAAGTCTATTACTAATATTATTATATTATCAAAGGTTTTAGAGGAGATTGTAAGAATAAAAATATGGAAAGTAGTTAGTAGAATACTTGTGAAATAATGAAAGCAATACTTGTAACATGATTTGCAAGTAATTTTTAAATTCTTACACTTTAAAAAATATTTCTTAGGCCTTTTCCGCGTTTATTTTTTAGCTTTCTTTGCGATCTGTGAGTCTTTAGATCGAAAACGCAACGAAATACATTTGCATTCGTAGTGAAAGCACATTTGCATAGGGATTTAAAAAATTGTATACTATTAAGATCGTGAAATTATATTACTGTATGTACCCTCGTCTTTCTCCCCTTTGAAACGCACATTTTTAATAAGAAAGAGAGAAAGTATGTTGCGTTTATTCGCAGAATTTACCATGTCGCATTTACATTACGGATGATTCGAATCAGTGTTTCTCGCATTATATTTCGATTGAACGAATCTAGAAAGGAGCTATATAAATCTGTGGCTAAATATGTTATGCAGTGAATAAAACATTTTATATATTACAAGAAAATTGTCGCAAGAATTTTGTTTTTAACGAACAAATTTGCATATATGCAAATATTTATCAAGAATGCGACTGAGAATGCATGCATGTTAAGTACTCCACATTTAACATTTACTGACGACACAGCATTTCCTGAATGTGCCGCATAATTCTTCTATACGAATATAATTATTCGAGAAGACAGAGAGAAAAAAATTATAAATTTTAAGTATAAAATCAAAATGCTAAATATGTCTACGTTTAATGCTCTTCACAATATGGCCAATTATTTATATCATCGGCTAATTTTCAGAAAAAAACACTGTTTCGAAACACCCGTTTAATCCGTGATCCGCGTTTTTTATTATGTATATATTTAACCGAGATATTTTGTACGCATTTTTTTAAAGAAATCTCGTTGAGATTTGGATCTTCTTAATTTTGCGACAGTATATTGCGCGGAGCGATGAGATTCTCCAATAATTCTGTTGATCTTTTTCCTCCACGTAATGACGTGTCGCGATGAAACAAGCGAGAATGTAGCTTTGTATGCGAATGTATGCGACTTATTAATTACGACTTTCAATTAAGTAATAAGTAGCGTTATCATAAGGAGCTTACATGTAACTCGTTCAGTGACGCGTGGTAAATCGCTCAAATTTGTTATATATATACATATATATATATACACACGCAATACAATATTATAGTTTCACTCGGTTCGCGAATCGAACATGCTGCCTGAATAAAAAAATTATCTCGTGCGACAGATACTACTCACTCGGATACTTGACAAACCACTGCCATGTGTATAAATTCCATAAAAAAAAAGAAAAAGCAAAAGGTTTCACATACACAGGAATTGCGATCTCGAAAATGGTCGAGGCACGAAGAAGAGAGAAAGAGAAAGAAGTAATTAAAAGTTCTAGCAGAGATATCGAATTAAATTTATTAACTCAGAGAGTTGAACTTAAGGTCTATCTAGTGATATACGACTATATAGCGATGTAAGTCCCGATGTGTATAAATTTACTCACATGTACCGCGATTGTGCACGCGAATAAATTTATATTCAGTAAAAAAAAGTCCATCCAAAAAGCGCAGATGAAGAAAATAAGTAACGAGTAGAGAGATTGAGGATATCATCTCGATACAATTTTAGGCTAATGAAAAAAGAAAGAAAAGCAAGTCGAGACTATTCTAGCTAGAAGGAAGCATCTCAGTAAACGTAATTAGGTAGGATGCGTATTTTAAGTATTTCCGTCGTCAGGTACGAGTTCGCGCGATCATCAGCGGAGAGTTAAATCGCGAGAGAAGAGAGATGTCGAGATAGCTTCGGCGCTTCTCTAAGACGTGTCAATGCTTCGTCTTTTCTCTTCTTGTTCTCGCGAGAAGAGATCTTCCTCGAGAGACAACTGCGTCCGTCAAGGTACGGGTTCATCAGAGATGATTTACCACATCCAAGAAAAACAGATGGCTATAGTTTATAGCTGCAAACAGTTGAGCTGAGGTGGATCCGCAGCTTCCAGATAAAGTTCGCGCGAACTCGGATCGGCGCGTCGCGCGATGCAGCTGCATCGAGGAAGGATTAATTAACAACATTGCGCATAAACATATATCTCTCTTCGATGGCTAACAGAATTGTGACCCTTTCGGAAAGCGCCAGCGTAATTCTCTCCATTCCTAAATGATCGTGATTCAAGCCAACAAACGTATCTGCCAAACCATCGTATCAATGCGCGAAGGAACGAAAAAGATAACGTATTATTTTTATATAATTTGTCATCTTTGTATTATTGTTACGATGGTTGAGAAGGGGACTTGTATAAAAAATACGGTAGATTGTAACTTCGGTGAAAAGTTGCGCACACGACTCGCGTCAACACGGAAAACACATACACACATGTATTAACATACACGCGACATAACACAACAAATTCGAGCAGATTCTTATTTGTCAGTAGAATTGCCATCACACAGATAGGAGAAGAATGCATTTAACGTTAGGGCGAAACTGCGATAATTCGCATTTGTAGCGATATCGAGTCATTTCTGTGCGATAATCGTTCTCTGGACTTCAAATGTAAAGATGATCGAGACTACCGAATATTAACTAATTAGGACTATTGTTAATTGTATCTAAATGGATCTCTTTTTCCAATTAAAAATCTCGAGAGTACTTGAAACTTATCAAAAAGTACTTCAAATCCAGATCGATATCTTTTTGATGAAAATTTCGAGAGAGCTATTACTTCAAAAGTAAAACCTTCAAGCTTTGCTTGTTAAGGAACATTAAAGACGAAGATCTAATTTTATTTCTAAAAGAAGATGCCACGTTTATTTCACAAAGAGCACATTCTTAAAATAAGTCTAAAAAAGATAGAATGAGAAAATTAAATCAATTAAAACACCTGTTATTTGGCATTGGTGCACTGTAATTAATTGGAAATCTATACTCGTCATTACTTATTTGAAGTGCATAGAATCCTCCACGAAATGCGAAATACCAGATTGTAAAAAGATTGTAACTCTTAGATTGTGTCAGACTCGCTAATGACACTCTTTTATCGGGCTAACAATGTTTCATCGATAAATGATGTCTGGCACTCAGAGGGTTAATTAGACTGTTAGAGAGCTAGAGCTACGTAAAAATAATCCATATCATTAAGAACACAAAATAGTGATTTTTTTTGTATCGGAGGCACTGAGAGAGAAAGAAAAAGAAATGCAAGCTATTTCTCTCTCTTTCTCTATGGATTGCGCTTTACGGGCTGCATATGTGTGTGATTACGATACATTCTACATACACATGTAAAGGGGTCCGCGAAAACGCGTATTTAGCTCAATCTTTCCTTTTTATATTTTGTAAATACAGCAGATATATAAAAATAATAAAAGTGGTGAACATTTTTATATAGTTAATTTTATAATTTATTTACTATACGCGAAAGAGAGAAACAAGAGGAGGAAGTCTCTCTTCATCGACCATCATCGCACGAATGAAAGAGGATAGGGACGTATACATATTTTACAGAAACACTCGTTACACACACATATACATACACATAGAGACATACACGCGCACGATTGTAGATAATTTGTAACAGTTGCTATTGTCAAGTACCACATACACGTATAAAGCGACATATGCTGATATATATCATTACGTATTATACTGATAACGATTAATAAAAGGTAATGTTGAAAATTGAAGCGTCGTCCATGCTGTATTGTTTATTTCTTCTCCTTCAATATAATAGCAAAGAAATCTAGTAACTCTCTAAAATAATCGATGTGTGAACGATGTATAAATATATAAATCCTATATTAACTTTGATAAAGTCAATCTTATTTCTTAATTTATGAATACTTACTTAAAAATGCAGTAATAAATTGATATTTGCATAAGAATTGCACATTTTAACAAATAATAAACTTAATTTATTAATTGTAAACATAGAATATAATAATGCATTTTAAGTATATAGATTTAATTCGCGTCGATTATCGGTGTTTTTTTTATGTTCAAGATCTTAATTTTGTTTTGCAAAAATAGATGCAGTTTTCCCAGAACTTGTAAAACTGCAATTAACCACATCCACCCTTTTTACAACAAGAACGTTTTGGAGGCCGATATCCGCGAGAATTGTCACCCATTAAAGGACTATACTCTGCAAATGGAGTATGAAAATCATATTATTTAATTCCATGTGTGCAATCGTTATTTGATCACAAACACGGGTTTCATTTATCCTAAAGATGTATTTATGAGATATAAAAAATAAATGTTACCTGATTTAAATGCATTTGATTTTGTTCCACTTGTACTAGGTGTATCGTCATCCTTTGAATTACCTAGCTTGGTACCCACATTTTTATTTTCCAATAATTTTAAAACCTTCTGTCTCTTCTTCTCTTTCTCCTAAGTAAAAAATGTTCAAAAATCTATACTTCAACAATATCAGTACAATAAAATTTCTCTTAATATCAAATAGCCCTTAATAAGACATACCTCTTCCTCTTTATTTGTGCCAAGGCACAATTTTTGTTGTATATTTCTTGCATCTTCTGTCGCGATAGTTCTACATTAGCCGACAGTTGTGGTAAGTCATCAGTCTCTAGACAAATGTAACATGTTAGATAAATTTATATTGACTAAATTACATGTTACCTATTATGTAAAAATTTCTACTTTATAAATTATATCGCTCTCACTTTTGCCAAATGCAACATTATCCTGATTTTTTTAAGTCTCCAGCTCTTATACCTCTTTTGAATATGTGGAAATGTGTAGCATAAAATAATTGCGAGACCTATAATATACCATCCTACGGAAGCTATTGGAGCCCAAACTGGAACACATAAAAAAATGTTTTAATTATTTCGCAATATATACGCGCAATAAAAAAATAAAAACGTCACAGAAATGTCAACAAGAGAGTGTGAAGCAATTAATGTTAGTCGAAATTTTCGTGTATTATTGATACATACTCATTTGAAAATAGCTTGGACTGTCGACGTACTCCATATTTCTTTCTACGTATTTATAATAAAATTATTCAAAACATTAACTGACAATAATCTACATGTCACGATCTGCTATACAATCAGTTCCTCTTTCACTTCTCCCACTTTTTCAAACAATCAAAGGGTGCGTTCGAAAACCTACCAGAAATCGAGCACCATTCAATGAACCAATCGAGACAAAGAAATCTTTGCTCTTGATTGGTCAATTAAACGTTACTTCACTGTATGGATAGGATTCGAACACACCTAGTTTTCCAAAGTCTGAATTTTACGTGCGAAATTATCTTAAATGAGTAATTAGCAACATTAAATACTTCGAATAAATTTGAGATATAAAGTATATAAACTATTAAATTTTAATCTTTAAAAACGATGGCTATATAGATTATATTTAACGTAGAAATAATTTTCTTAAAAAAATTGTTTACATATCGCAATACTTTCAATAAAATTGCAAACTACTTTTTCTTTAAAAAAAAAAGGGGGAAAGAGGGGACAAAAAATTCTCTTCTAGTTTAAATTTTGTTAATTGTATAAAAGAGCAATCATGTAATAAACATTATGTGTGTATATAACATATTAATAATTAAAAATTAGAAGAGAACAATTTTTTGTTTTTTAGAAAAAGTAGTTTGCGATTTTATTAAAAGTACTACGATATTATTATTATTATACTATTATTTAGGTCAAATAAATTTAATCGGGAAATTTACATATTATATGAATTCAATATCCATATTTTTCATTAAGACTTGTTCTGCCATCTCCGGATTGATCTTGCGGTGGTAACCATGTAGAATAATCGCTCGAGTGAACGTCTTGATCATATTGCTTCTTCATACTTTTTGATTTTTCTGATTTTTTATCTTTTCTTCGTTTCTTATCATCTCCAATATTCGTTTTTCGTTGATTCGTTTCAATGTCAACGTCTTTCAAAGTACATAGTCTGTCGTCAGTCTTGGAATCTTGCAATTTTATTTCCTTGGATGATGTAGATTTTTTGGTATCACATTCTTCTTTTTCTTTTAAATTATCTTCGTTTTCTTCATCTTCCTCTTCTTCTACATCATCTGTAGTATTATTACTATCTAAAGTTGACAATTGTACTGTTGCAAAATCATCTTTGTTCTGAAAAAATATATACTTTGATTACAATCCAAGAAAATAATAAGAAATATTTTTTGTTTAAAAAAAAATAATAAAATAGATACTTACCTTTGCTTCAAAAAGTTGTTTTCTTTTTTCAAGTTGGGAGATTTTCTTTACAGAAATTTTTGACTTTTGTTGCAGATCATCCTTTTTACTTTCTTCCTGAACTTGGCTAACAAGAGGCGGCAAATTGGCCGGTTTTGTAAGATTTATTAATTTAACTAAACTTAATTCTTCTTTACGCAGGTTTTGCAATTCCATCTTCATTTTTATTATATCGGTTTTATTCAAAGAAGATGTATTTAAATTAGACATAAAAGCATCCAAAGAGTCCTCGTTGGATTCTGTTGTTTTGGCATTGCTTTCTTGTGCTTCTTTTAAACGATTAGTCAGATGCGAAATTTTATTCATGATCTCACCATGTTTTTCAGTCTGAAATATAATACATGTTTAATTTAAAAAAATTTATATATAAATATATGTATATATTAGATTTTAGATCAATAAACAAAAAAAATAAAATGGCATTACCAATGAATTATAAGTCTCAATTTTTCTTCAAATTTTCCAGCTTGTTTCATTCTTTGCTCGCGCTTCCTTTCTATTGTTCCGGTTCGATCCAAAAAGTTATCTTCGTCTGAATCATAATAATCTTCCTCTTCCCAATTTTTTGTTTTTTTTCTTCGACTCTCTGAAATCAATATTAGTATCAATAATTAAATGTAAAACATTAAATAAATTTGCATATACAAAATAATATTAAAAATGGCATTATTTATAATATATACATATACATATATTACCATGATTAGCTTGTCTCAATAATCCGTGTCTATCCAAGATTCTGCAGGCTTCCAAAGCGCATTGAACAACGGATTCTTTCTTCTTTCCTTTAACAAGAGCTTCCGCTTTTATGGGACGACCGCCGAAACATTCTTTAGGCAGACTGAAATTTATTTTATTTTTATATGATATACAAAAGAAAGCTAAAGTATAATATATTTAAATATAATTTTAGAGCAACATTGTTCAAGAAATAAGCTTATTTAATTATATTAACTTATGTAATTTAACTCATGTATATATATGTATATATATATAACTAACTTACTTTATCCAACATAAAAATTGGCCTATCCCTTTTTCCTCAACTTGATATTGCAAATCATATCCCTCTCTTTCAAACCATCCTCTCAATGTTTTCTTCGGATCGTCTAAATATAATTCCTCATCTGCCATAGAAGCATAAGGATTTTCTGTCAGATCTGTTTCCTCATCAGCATCTTCTCCCATTCCCCAATCAATACCCTCACTTTCTGCTGCTTGTTTTGCTCTCTCTTCAGCTTCTTCTTCCTCTTGTTGTCTAATCTTTCGTTCTTGCAATTCTTCCAATCTCTTTTCCTATCGATAGATAAGAAAAAATATATTTAATAAAATATATACTTGCTTAATAAAAAAGTTATGTTTAAAATATATATGTTTAATAGAACAGATGTGTATAAGAAACTTGTACTTTCACTGATAATATAAAAGTAATAATTAGTATTAAATTATAACTAATTTATTATTAACAATTACATCTAAATAAAAATTACAAACCTTTAATTGAGTAACCGACAGTTCAGATTCCTCTTCTCGATCATCTAGTGGAGCTTGTAATATATATTTTCTCTGACTACAACCAAATTTAATCATATGACCATCGTGTAATCGAACATAGGTTCTTGATTTTATACGATGTCCATTCCAAAATGTACCATGTGTGCTCTCCAAATCATACAAATAAAAACCTTTAGAGTTCTTCTCGTCTTCTGTTGCTCTGTATTGAATAATTGCATGATATCTTGAGATAGTCGGATGAGCAAGGGACATATTGCAAGCAGGTAATCTGCCTATTACATAAAAACTGTTCTCAGTTAAATCAATCTTCTCTAAAATTACACCAGATTTCAGAACTTCTAACTTATATTCCTCTGTCGGTTTTCCACCCCACTTTGGTTCCAAATATGGTACAGAAATGTTTTTTGTATCATTTTGTAAGACATTCTCTTCTGCAGAACTCTTTAAAATTGGCTTGTCAATTGGCTTATCTTTAATGTCTTCTTGCAAACAAATAGTTTCAGTCGTTTCATCATGCACAGATTCAGAAGAAGGAGGATTTATATTATCATTCATTATTCGAAATTTTCCAATCTTACCCCGCTTTGGGCCAATCAATAAAAGCGGTTTTTTAAATCCTGATTCTTTGCAAGTGTCACTTGTTCCATTTGGGGAAGATTCAGACATACTTTCTGTTTGTAATTTTTCAGCGTTTGATTCAGTGTCTGCTAATGATTCAGATATCATTCCACTGTTACTTATGTCAGCACTAACAGCAATTGTAGAAGTATTCTTGGGAAGAGAAATTACAGAATCACTTTCCTGTTCATTTGCTTGCATAATTAAAATCTTGTCAAACTTTACTGCTGAGGAATAATCAGGTACTACAATTTTGTATTATTATCAATCAGAATTCGTATTCACTTTTATAAAACTCTTTTAGTGTTTATGTTCAGATATTGTAGTCATGTTGCTTTGCATGATCAATTAATTATTCTTATAGAGTAGATTAAATTAGATGTTTACTAAAAAGTGTTATCAGATTTATCTTCCCTTTCTTCTTTCCTTTATAAATAATTATGTTCGTCCACTGAGCTAATATATTACATAATTTACTACGTAATTGTTATAATACAATTTACTATGTAAATTAAAATTCTTACAAAAACGTCTTGTTTATTTATTTCTTGCTTAGAGAAAATTTCACAGATAATAAGGTTAGATCGCCAATTATGAAATCTTCTTTAGTATCGGCATCTACAATAACTCTGTCAATAACTGAGAGAATCTCTGCAATAGCATTTTTAATCGATTATCACGGACTTTTATTTTTTACGCGGCGTTAATAATTATCGCGTAAATTTTGCTTTCTATATGTGTATGTGAAAATATTTAAATAATAACATATACATATTTATAAATATCTATCAGAGAGAAACCTGAGAGCGGCCGCGTGTACTAGTGCGCCCCTGACAAAGTGGACATAAACTACGTCGTGACGCTCGGTAATTTGACTACTGTTGTATATATACAAGTAGTCAAAATCATAAGATTTTTATATAAGCAAAGATTACATTTAAAAATAATTCTAGTTTCGTCCTAAAAACTTATTTTAAATTTAAATATTATTTTTTCAAAAAAACAAAATTTTAAAATAAAAAAATAGATATACATGATTTAACAGATATTTAAATAATAATTTAACTCATTTAAAAATCGAGATATATGTATCGAGATAATAATATAGTAAATTGAAATAATACATCGTCGCTGAAATCGTTACATTATGATTGCCGTATAATATTAGTTTAATAATATAGGTATGTGTGTATTTATGTGTATTTTAATTTATTTAATTAAAATATACATATTATAAACGCACGTGGCACGCGCGGGTGATCACACATTTGTTCAAGTTCCTCTGAAAATCTGCTCTCTATACGATTTTCTTTTAACTTGAGATAAATTATTATAACACTTCTCATTAACATTTCTTTCTCATCTCTAATTGCGCCATAAATTTTTTATTTGCGTATTTTCTTACAAAATACTTGGTATCATTATCTCTACGATGTAACAAATGATAAATGTACGAGCGCACAAAGTAGATTTTCAATCTTTGCTTATACTGTTGCATATATAATTTGTCAACAGATGAATGCTATATATTGAAGTTACGCCTCATTATATTTTTTCTCATATTTGCTCTAACGCAATCATCTAAAATTTATCTACACGTATATTGTATATTATATATATTCGCGTATAATGTATATATATATGTACATCTATTATTTCTATTTATATGTACAATGAAATCTATGTATATGGGCATGTATATGCACCAAAAAGAATAAATATTCTTAAAATAGATATTCACCCCACATTAGCTTTGCTAATATATATCTTTTACCTCAATTTCGTCTCTGTTTTTCAATTCATTTAAAGACAAATTTTCTTTGTGCACGAATAAAATTTGTTTATACATTCGTGAGTGGTAACTATATGTAGGCACGTGTCGTTATCCTTTTCTTTCTCATTATTTTTGATATAGATTATAATTATTTTACAGTAACTATGCACTCTTTACTAACATTTTTTCTTATAAATATATAAGTCGGAAACAATTATACATATATATAATCTGCACAAACTTATCTACGAAAAATTGAATTAGATTTATAAGATAGTTATAGAATAAAGTTAGTTGATTCAATCTCGATAAATATATATGTATAATGTTTATATATATATATATATAAACTTTATCGATTTAATTCAATTTTATTCCGTGTTATTTTTTCCTCTTTTTTCTTTTCATTAAAAATGTATAAATCCTAAACTTTCTATATCCAAAACTTAAATGTATTTTGCTCATATTTATCCTTGCCAATTTTCTACATATTCGTTTCTTTCAATATATGTAAAAGTATAATTCAGACAAGACAGAAAATATATAATATACATTTGTTTATAAATCAACATCGAATAATGGCTTTTTATTATCAACTAAATATAAAGAAATGCCAAATGCAAAATTCTAACAAATATTACGTATTTCCTCTCTTATGTCTCAATAATCTTTTTATAGTAAATTATAAAAATTAAATGGATATTTATCCTGAATTATCTTTGTTTGTTTTCGCATATTTTGCGCAAGATAAAATGATAATAAAAGGCTGATGTAAGAAAATTGTATACTATTATTATATATACATAAAATTCTGATATATTAATATATTAATATTTTTATAAATTCTCTCTCTCTCTCTCTCTCTCTTACTTCTCTCCTTTCTCTCTCAGGTGACTTAATCATTAGATCACTAGTGTGAGATGGTATTTGCATGCATTTAAAATACAATTATACAATTGTAAAGAAAGAAATTTGAATTCCCTTAATCATTTTAACTGTTCTTTAAATATTCTATCTAAGTATAATCTAGATTTTTATATCGCACAGTCGTTTGATGCTTCATACAAAGTGGCCTCTATTTAAGATTGTGTCCAGAATTAATTTCGACATGTTAATCCGAATTTTTTCACATCAATAATGTACATATGAATTAATGATTTACGTTAATTTTTTATCTGCAAGTATTGTATATATCAACACACTCACAAATAATTAAAGATTGCCAATTATTATGTATATATATATATATATATATATACACAATTATTATAATTGCATATTTCTAAATTCTTCAGTGACCACTCTGTACTAGGCCAAGGCAGATCAGTGTATGATTGCATAATCTACATACTAGAAAACAGTTTAATACTTAGCGATACTCTAAATACGGTGCTTTTATGAGTTAAACGCATGGGAATTCTTTCTGTGCCGCCATCGAAGACTATGATCATTAAGAGGAATTAATGGGGAGAAAAAACTATTTCTAGAAATACAAGTGTACAGTTACGGGCCGCATTCATATTCCATATTTATGCACTAATCTGGCCGCTTTATTCGTCTCTAATGTGACAATTGCAAACAATAGTTATTGAGAATGCTCAAATGGATGTGCATACGGGATATGCATACAAGCCCATGTCTTTATTTGCATCCGTATCTTCTTATTGTCAAGCTACTTTATGCAGATATCTATATTATACTTTCATATTTTCGTCCTATAGCGACATTTACTAAGTTCACCAAATATCAGAAAGCATAAGAAAGAATAGGCTATATTTTTCTTGTAGAATATCTAACTTACAGTATCGTTTTACAACTGTGTTTTCTATGTACCACATGTTTGATTCAAACGCAAGAAGATTGAAAATTTACATTTAATAAATATAATCCATTAAATATATCCATTTAATAAAGATAAAAATGTAATTTGCTTTTAGAAATTGCTAAAGCACGTCTTTGTAAGCTACACCAAAAATTTCGATATGATCTCAAAAGTGGACTACTTCAGTTTTGTAATCCATTCTAAATGTTTTTTTTAATCAAAAAATTAAAATAATTACATTTTATAAATAGAATGGGAGCATAGCAATTTTTTTATGAGAAAACTAATATTAACATGAAAAAGCTTGCAAAAGAATAGAAAAGAACAGAAATAATTTCAATAATAATACAAATTAGTATCCAAATCAATCATAATTCAATAAAATAATAGTGAACAATAATTGTGACACAAACAAATGAGAATTTGTGTAACTAAAGCATAATAAATTTTAAAATATGTACTTAAATAATTGTACAATAATTTTACATATGATTAATCTATGCGTGTATTGTAAAAAGAAAATAATATTAATTTAAAGCTCAAGCTCCATTCATAAAAATTAAGAGAAAAATATACACAATTTTAAAAATAAGTAAGGACATTTCAAAGAGACGTATGTAACATACATGCAAGAATTATCCCATGATAAGAGACAATTTACAAAATAGTAAAGAAAATAAGGGTAAGAGTGAATCATACCCTAAAAATACTCAAATATTTCCATAAAAGAAAAACTAATAATTCTCGTTAATCTTACTTTCCAAGACGTTTAATGCGAGATCGCGTGCTCAGTGATCGAGCACTGGGATTGTATGGTGATTTGACCCTCTTAGCTATACCAGAAGTGGAATTTGTAGTCGACGGATTAATGGTCGCGCAAGTACTCACGCTTCCACTGTTACTATTCGCTTGTTTAAGTTTATTGGATGACAACGAGGAAGACCTGACTCTACTAGATTGTAACGATCCACCGTTTGCAGACTGTTGCTTCAACTTGTTCGGTAAGGATAATCGATTTGCTTCACTACTCCATACTGGTGAACCAATTGTGCAGATATCGTATTACCAACGATGTCTACATTACGCGAACGTAGCGTTTTCACAGGTGTTGCCGCCATTGTGTCTGATCTATATACATAAAATAAAAATGTAATGTTTGGTACAAGTTTATCAAACACATTTAAACAAATTGAACCATATAAGTCTCTAACGTATAAGACGGGCAACAAGAGCCAAATCGCGGATGACAATGCGTTATCCTAACGAAACTAAATCATTTTTCGTTAGAATTAAATACCGGTGCACAAGGCACCAAATTTTTTACTTGGACACGGCCAAGATTTTAAATATGAAATAATCTCATATTTTGAGATTTAATTTCAATACCCCTTTAACCCCCCTTCCCGATTCAGCGATTTTCGGATCTATATTTTTCTCTTGCATTCATTTATTTATTTTCCGTAGGGGGGTTAAAGGGGTATTGAAATTAAATCTCAAAATATGAGATTATTTCATATTTAAAATCTTGGCCGTGTCCAAGTAAAAATTTGGTGCCTTGTGCACCGGTATTTAATTTTAACGAAAAATGATTTAGTTTCGTTAGGATAACGCATTGTCATCCGCGATTTGGCTCTTGTTGCCCGTCTTATACGTTAAATTTATATTTATATTACAGAGCCTTGTTAAAACTCTTATACATATAAGTCTCATTCAATTGCAATTATTAATTTTCAATATAAATTAACAATATTTGCAATATAGTTTTATAAAACTACTCAACTTTATTTAAATGTATCATGCGAAAATTTTTAAATAAAAAAATTAACTAACCTTAACCATCGCTGTGGCATCGTCGTATCTGAAGGACTGACAATCGTTACCGTCCTATTTAATGTCCTTCTGTCGTTACAATTGTTTGCTCGATTGCTTCTACCTTGGTCCCAATCTCTCAGAAAACTACCTCTCAGTTGTTGCAATTTCGAACCGTTGATAGATGGCCTCCTAATGGTTTTAACAGGTGTGGCCTTCTTTGCTAAACTTCTACGTTGGAACGACGAGGAGAGCGTCGTCGTAGTAGCACCGTTCAACGATAATGTCGAATCCGGTCGTCTGTCCGACGTGGGCCAACTTAGCCGACCGCTCGCATTTTCCGTCTGATTGGCCGGATCGTTCTCATCTGTAGGATTCTGCCGTCGATCCTCGGACCGCGTTCTCCTCTTCGCGCACGGTTCCTGCTGTGCGCAATCATTTTCAACTCCAGTCGATGCTACCGATGTCTGCGTGATCGTGCTGTGCCTGCGTTTACAGTTAGTATCTCCCCGTTTTGACGTGTTCTTCGTTGTCTCTTCCGCTGACGCAGCATTTCCCATAACGGGCGGTTTCGATACTCTACTGTATCGAGACTTTACGCTCACATAAGTTTTGGAATCCGGAGTCTGTACGAAAGCATTCTGAGCTTGCGAGTTCAGACTGTGTCGACGCTTTATTGTTCTAACGTCCGTCCTCGTAGCAGGAAATAAAGAATGTTGTTGCTTGTGCCTCGATCCATTTAAAACACCATTTCTCATTTCACCACTATCGAAACTCTTGCTTTTGACAGGAACAATACCGCCACTCCGGCGTAATCTGCTTAAAAGAGGAGCTGGTTGGATTGCTTCCTCTTTCACGTCAGAAAATGTATTTTGTCGCGTCACATGAGATACTCCTGTCTCGTTTACCACTTCCTTAAGCTCGGTAAACTTGTTCGATTTTAAGTTAGACTGGATGAAAGTCTGTGTATTATCAATCTTCGTCTTTTCATTTTCGTTCTGTTCAGTTACTTGCTTCTTTTCAAAATTTTCTAATTTATCGAGAATTGTTTCATCCGTTACTTTATCTTCCGATTCTCCGGTTTCTTCTGGCATTTGGCTAGAAGAGATTTCGGCAACCTGGATACTCTCGCCAACATCGGTAGCCTCGATACTTATATCCTTCGCAGTATCCGGTGATTCCGTAGAAATATCGGTCTCTGGCGAAGTTGATTTTTCAGGGTACGAAACTGTTTGCGGTTGTAACATCGGATTGACGATCTCCTCACTGCCATTTGACGAGTCCGGTTGCTTGGCATCGATATCGGGATTCGCGGAAAAGCTTGGCGGCGGTGTCGGTATGCACGGTGATGGATGCACTTTCGAATTGGCTTTCTCGATATTTTCGGAAGGTATCGTTGTAGATGGCGTGTGTGTTCCATGATGTATGACACGATCCTTCTTTTGATTAAACAATACCTTTAACAGAAAAAAATGCTTTAGCTGAAGTATAACAGTTTCACGTTTTATAAATAACTTTTTGCAAATACTTTTATTCCAAATTTAACAAAGAAAATTTTTCAATTTTAATTTCATTGTAAAACCTTTATATGTGTTATTGTAATTTACATTTGATTAGATTTTAAAAATATTAAAAAATGTAGGAGTATATGTATATTCACCTCACTGCGACATGGCCCTGATGGATCTAACATTAATGTCACAACACTGGTATTATCTGCCCGTAACCTAGTTGATGACCACCTCTCCAATGCACGATCCACAAGACTTTTTGAGGGATTTATCCACATTTGTAAATCAGCCTATCAAAAAATGTATATACATTAATTATATATATATAACTTGTTTTATATTTGTTAATACTTTAATAACTGTACATATAATTAATAATATAAAAGACTTACACCATTGCCAGTCTGCTGTGATGCTATTAAATGTTTCTCATTATGTCTATCTGTAGCTTGAACAATCGCTACAGCAGCTTGTGGCGACAACATATTCCATAAACCATCCGTACCAAAAATGAGACAACGATGTGATTTGACATCAACTGGAATAACTTTGACATCTGGTTCGGGAGAGACGACGAAAGTGTTTAATTCAGAATTGTAACTCCACAAGTCACCTAAAACAAATTTTTCGTTAGATTCCTTTGCATCTGCACAAAATATCATTTTTTTTTAAAGATATTCAATGTACTTACCCAAAGATCTGGCTACCGCAAGAAATGGAATTTCATCCATGTGAGTAGATCTTCGAACTGGACCCTTATGGCCTATACGAGGTCGATTCCACACAACTCTTGGCACACCGGATTTACTAACCACTTTTCCTCCCGACTCCTGTATACGTGTCATCTCTGGTCCACTCTCTGGTTTGTGATCTTTTGTCAAAGCTTTTGCTCGCCATTGAGGATCACTCTCCACTTGATAGCCTAATATAATAGCGGAATCTCCCACATGACCTATGTAAATCTTGCCTTTCCGTATGAATGCAATGCTGGCAGTTGTGCCAGCTGTGGATGGTAGTCCAGATGCGGTTCTCGGCCATTTATCTGTTTGAAAAACAAAGCCCAAGTCAAGATATATATCAACTATAACATTAAGTCTGTTCTTTTCAACTGAACCAGCCCAGTTTATATTTTTTACTCTGCATTATAAGGAAAGAGATAAACTCTGAAGTAACGCAGCCAATTCAACTGAACAGAACAGACCTCTAGTTATAATATATAGATAAATCTAGATTCCTAGCGACCAAGGTCGCCGAGAACGCAACGTTAACATATCTGATTAAGCATTATACACGCGCGCGCGCGCGCGACGATACCGCCGCGGAATCGCCGCGATTCAGATTCGCGATGAGGCAACGCATCATTTATCCCACCGCTTCTTGAACTCGAATTTCCAGGTTAGCTCGCGAAGATTACATAACCTAAACCCCTAACCTAATCAGGCCTAGTTGCGGCAATATGGTGGGGGAAATACGCGGGACGACGATAAAAATTCTCGATCGCGGAATCGCCGCTGCGGGGGATAATTTTTTTTTTTTTTTTGCAACAGTGCTCTCGCGGTCGACGAGTTCCAGGTTGGCTCGCGGCAAAAAAAAATTCAAAAGATCGTAGTGCGCGCGAACGAGACGCAAAATAACTTCTCTCCCTCCCTCTTTCCTTACCGAGCTCCCGCCACATCGCGTAGTGTGTGTTCATGTATCCGTCCCTGATAGCTCGCAGCACATCCTCGTCCCGATCGCTCCAGAAGTTCTTCTGCTTCACAATACTGTCCATGAGATGTTCCTTGGCAAAGGTCGCGGCTTCCCCGCCCCCGTGGCCATCGAATATCCCGAAGAACGCGTACTCCAGGTCCTTGTCGTCCGGTGTCGGTTGGAACGCCACGCAGAACATGTCCTCCATGTATTTGCGACCGCCCTGATTACAGTGGCCGGTCACCCGTAGATTAACACCGATACTCAGCGGCATCGCGACTGATCTCGGACACGATCCGTGTTGTTAACCGACGACGACGAGGACGTACGTCGCCGAGATACCCGTCCGACTGTCTAAACACAACGCGTTTGTTTAAGCACTCTCTCTCACTTGGCACGTACAACAAACACCGAACGGAAGCCTCGCATTTACTGGGCAGGTCCGCGCGCGCAGCTCCGAACGATAGAGAGAGAGAGAGAAAGAGAGGGAAACGCTGACGTTGCGGTCGACAACGGCGCGCGAGGTGAGGGAGGGGGGAGGATCGGCCAATGGCAGCGGCGCGCTGGCGCAGGAGTGGGGGAACCTTTCTCCCTCCTCCCTCACTTGACGGCGACCTCGCGTCGCACACACACGCGCGCGCGCATTCCCTCTTCGCTCTTCGTTCCGCGCGGTTCTCCGGGACGATTTCACCGACATGATATCCCAGCGTTTCTCGAGAATCGGCTAAAGCGGAAGATTTTGGAATGTACACGCGCGTGTTTTTCGAACACGTCTCGATCCTATCATTACGAATGATCGCACGGACGCTTTTGAATTTCGCCCGCGCGCTTTTTATCACGCGTGAGAGGGAGCGAGAAAGGGAGAGGAAGACGGCGATTTTCTCGTCATACCATGACCGTTTTATAAAGAAACGGGTATTGTTAGCGAAGGATATAAAACGCGGATATATATACGTTCTCTCACGCTCAAGGCTCGAAAGAGCCTTGAAAGTTTTAGCTGTACGAGATGGCGATTGGGAATAGACGGACGGAGAAATAAATATCGATGCGGATACTTTAAGGTACCTTTAAAGCTGGATGTCTCCCGCGACAATATATTTCCAGTTTACTTTCTCATTTATGTCCAATTACTTGGTTCGCCACGTGCTTCCTCCCCCTCTAGCGATCCTCTAATTGGTCGCGGTAAGACGGCGAGTTAGAAATGCGCTTTACCGAAGATAAACAAGGAGATAAGAGCGCGTTTCTGAAGTTTGCGAAGTTCGCGGCCGTTAGACTTCGTTTACAACGATGTATATAAAAGGACAATGCGAGCGGAGTTTATTTTCATGCTTATGAAAAAGTTTATGACAAATAAAACGTGAAAGAGAGAGGGAGACTCCTTTTAAAGTCTGATATATGAATGTTGAATTAAATAAAAATAGTGTGTGAGAAAAAAAAAGCAAGATTACGATGTCGTCTTCGCTCGAGAATTGATACATCTAAATTATAATGATTTATTTTAAGAAGAAAAAAGAATAAATAAATGCGAATCGCGTATCACGACGCGTAATTGATTTACTCGCGATAATGATTTATCTACCGATTAAATGTAGCTTCTGATCTTTATTTCGAATCATCGTCGAGGCGCGTCGCCCCTCGAGACACTCGCACTTATCGATAAGTTCGATTGTCGCAGTGAATTTTTTTTTTCTTTCATTTATCTTAATTTACGACGGACTCGACTTTCGAACCGAAACTCGCATTTGAAATGAAAATAGACACATGTCAGATGGAAATTCCAAACTTAAAGATCTCTGTAAAGATAGCCTCGTACTTTCTACATTCATTATTCTTTTTTCTCCACACGCATAAACGTGTATATACTCGCTTGTATTTAAAAGAATAAAACGCAGATGCAAAACGCACGACTAAACAAGACTTTCTTACATAAAGTTAAAGCGCAGAATTACGGTTACATGGACCAAACATTAAGGTCCGACACGCACGTTTCGAGGAGACGACTAGAGGAGACACGTCTATGCACCAGAGAATTTTACAAAATTTGAAAAGGTCCCCGCGGGCGGCAGCTCCAGTCCCAGTCCAGTAACATTACCTTGGTTATGTTACGGCTGTGACCAGGCAGCGACGTGTTTTCCCTCATCCCCGTCGTCGTGCCGCACCTTTAGTAAGGATCCCCACCGCTGCGGAAACTTTTACGCGTCCGATCTTCAACCTTCTCTCCGCGTCCCTCTCTCGTTCTCACTCTGTCTCTCTCCTGCCCGTTATACACCACGTCAAACCGCTGGTTCCTCCTTCCCGCCACATCCCCGGAGTCCTCCATGTGGTGGCCTGTCAGATGTCGGTGCTATTCATGCCGCGCATCTCCGCTCACGTAGTCTCTCGCAACGTTGCCGCATTTCCTTCCGCACTCTCCTCAGCAGCAACCTGATTTCTTGTCCAGCTCGACCGAGGAACGAGGCGCCTGGAAAAATTGTCCAGAGTGAATGTCGCGGCTATTCGAAATCGCGGGAATACTTATCATGCCCTAAAGCGCGTTTGACATTTAAATTTAAATTCGATTATCTTTAAAGCGACGTTACAAGTTCAAACACGCGGATATTATATATGATATGCTCGGATTTCAGACTTCAGGTTCACCCGGCCCTTCCGTCTTCAACGGTACTTCTTCGCGCGGTCGAAGAAGGGCACGGGGCGGAAATTTTCAGAACGGCGACCTCATTGGAGCGAGACGACCGGGTATGCGCTTATGCGTATAAAAAGCCGAGGAGAACGAGCAGATCGGATGGAAAGAGCCGCGTCGTTCTTCGCCTCCTCGTAGTTATCTCTATGCTGAGTCGAGCAAAACATGGGGGGCACGTGTTTGAACTTGTTCGATCGACGGCGACGACGAGACGGCAGCGAGGACGTGGCAACGTCGCCGCTTCAAAATAGCTCTCACCAGCTGGCGACTTTCGCTCGACCTACGAGGGAGGCGGACTAAAGTCCGCGGAAATGGCGCGTCGAGGTGGCTCTCATTTCCGCGAGGCGGACTTCGATCTCTTGGCTCGAGCATAAACGCTGATCCGGGAAAATGTCCGTGCACGTCCGAGAAATCCCACGATGACGATGCGGACGAAATGCGTCATCGATTGCGTCATCCTCTGGAAAAGGATAGTCGCCCTGCTTATCTCTTCCACGAACAGTTAAATGTCAACCTATCTCGGTACAACCGAGCGATGAAGGTTTTAGGTTCGTGCAGGAGAAGGAACTGAAAATGAGAACGAGAATATTTAGTTTGATGAAGAAGAGAAATTTTCCAGAATTTTTGAATGATTTTTTTAGAATTATTCCGACGCGCAAATCGATAATCCGAAGATCCGCTCATTTGATTTCCCGCAATAAACGATACCGGCAGCGCCATCTGTGGGTTGTCGATTAAACTATCAAGGAAGAAAGTTTTGCAGGATCTATAACCTACATAAACAATGCATCTATGTACGTTGCATATTTATTTCCTAATTATATATTTTTAGAGCGCTAATTCTTGAAATCAATATGAATTATATCATTATTATAGTATCGTCTGCATTGACATTAAATATGTAACGATCAAATACAATGCAACTATATACATTACCTTATATATATCCACATATTAGATTTACAAATTACAAAATTCCAACTCTGTTTAATTAAATTCTCTCACTGAATCGATTTGTTTAGGCTCGGAAAATACCTAAAATTAACAAGTAGACTGTATTATTGATATATACAAAAAACAATTAGTACGATTATTCATAACACGATTTGCGTTTAATCGATAGATCAAAATATCTTCCCGCGTTATGGAAAATTTGACTCGCCGACATTATTTATAATAATCAATAATATATATTTTTATTGAATTCAATAATATATATTTTATACGATAATACGAATATAAAGTTATTCGGTGCGCGAATCGAGTAATGTATAATATATACTTAATACATATTTTCATCCCGTGCAAAAAACAAATTCGACACGGAAAATATTTGAGAAAAAAATGCAACCTCTGATATGTGACGTGCGTGCGTTACTTTCGTGATTGCGTTAACGTCTTTTTATCGATTACCCCTCGCACGTGCCTTATACAATGCAGATATACGTGGCATCCGGAACCAGTGGGCATTCCCCGGTCGGCGACTAGAACGCACATGTTCGTGCCTGTTGAATCACGTTTTATATAGCTCCGCTATCTCACCGGGCTGAGTCACGAGACGGACTATGCTCACTTATATTGGCAAGATTGCGCACATTACCTGACACTGAGACCTCTGCCTATAGAAATGGTCGATTTTGATGTAGATTGTCCTCGCTATGAATAGAGCACTTAATGCCTTCAAGATGATGCAACTGCAAAATGGAAAAAAATTAACAGACTTGTCTAGTTTTTTTTTTAAATTAATAAAATGAAGTGTATAACATCGATAGCAGTTATTTGTTAGATAAATGAGAAAAATAACAATATATTTTTAAATAATTCTGAGAATAAAGAAATCATTCCGTTTATTCTTAATATATACACATGCTCATTGCTTTATTTTAAATTACTACACTAATGTTAATTAATATAATCATAATAGACAAAAATATATATTATATATATATTTAGCACTATTATGTAATTATTTGAATATACAATGTGTACTATAATTCAATTTAAAAAAATTATATTTAAAAAATAAGAAATAAATTGAAATAATTAAAAAAGAGAATTATTATATACTTTTTATCGAACTATCTATTAATAGCGATTTATACAAGTACCCACCATCAAGCAGAGTGGCGCAGTGGAAGCGTGCTGGGCCCATAACCCAGAGGTCCGTGGATCGAAACCACGTTCTGCTAAGATTTTTTTTTCCTAAATATATATTACATATATAAAATGTATATGTTCAAAATAATTTACTGTATTATTTAAATTTCTCTGTCAAATTTTGTGTAATGTATGTGTGCATGTATATGATTAGTTAAATATTTTTTTCTTTCACGATCTTTAGTTTTTATAAAAATTTAATTACAATATATTTTCACATAAATATACATTAATTGTTGATTTAAAAAAATTAAAAAAATAGTGTCGCCCAACGTGGGGCTCGAACCCACGACCCTGAGATTAAGAGTCTCATGCTCTACCGACTGAGCTAGCCGGGCTACTTGACACCAAGTCCTTTCTGTTAGTATATTAATTACATTTACATGATTATATATAATTAATATTTATGAAGATATGATTTCTTTTATCATAACATATTAAAATAAATTAAATCACATAAAAATGATAAGTAAGCAATACCTACTAATATAAATAAATAATTATTGCACAAAATAAACTTTTATTAAAACTCTTTTTTGCATTTTAGTAGCAAACAGCTCGTTATAATTCTGACAATAAATATATTATATATACAATCATTTCCTTTTCATAATAAAATGAACACAAGAAGTATTTTAACATTGCATTAACACGCATCTTTATGGCACGTGAATGTTTTACTGTCACGTTGAACTTTGCATAATATCGTATGTAATTTATCACCTTTAAGAGATGGTACATCGGTGGTCCCTTTCGGTAATAATGCACAATTTCAGATTACATATTCTCGATACATTTGATAATAATAATAACATCTGTAATCAAACTGTGTTTTGCGATCGACAGTTATTATAGTATATTATTAACAATCTAAGCAGTCTAACAAACTAACTAGAGATCGAGAAGCGTTATTCTACGTACAGTATTTTGTACAATATTAAAGAGATTCTAAAAAGATTAAATTTAAATGTATACGTGCACTTTCGCGTTATTAAATAAATATACGTATTTATTAGTTTAAGCGTTTTCATATATGAACACAATTGCATTGACAACATTGCATTAACAATACCACATCTCTATCTCTGTCTATTTTCTTGTAAAGATATATCTTTCGTTTCGACAAACTTTATCAATCATCAACTTTTGCATATATATTATCAAAATATTTGATACTCAACGCGTGATTCACAATGTATGGCAGAATCGAAGTGTTACTTTTATATTAGACATGTATCTTCTAAATAAATGGCCACATATGTAAATAACAAGTGTAAACTATAACTGTTTAAGAAATGTTTAAACATTCTTTTTGTTATGTTATCAAAAATTGATTTTTCTCTGTAATTACACTACATTATTAACTGTTATTGTTACGAAATCTTGGCGTGATCTAACTGTTCTATTATTTATCTTTTCTCGTATAAAAACTATCGATAAAAATTTCGAACAATTAATTTTCTTTAAGTATAATGCATCGATATAAATTTAAAAAAGGCTGCGGAATATTATGGAGAGAGAACAATCGCCATAAGTTAGAAAACTAACATGTTTCGAAGGCCATTTTACTATACTTAAAATTCTTAATCTTACGCACGAAGAGAGTTAATGCATTCGCATTGCACAGAACAGTGCAAATGTTATTAATAATATTAAACTCTTTCCCTGCTCGATTCTGTTCGCCGTCGAGCAGCCGGGCGGACATTCCAGAGGCTCGGCGGTCCGATTCTCGTAGAGAAGGTTCCTCATGATCTTCTTACCTTCGCACGAGTTCTCCACTCGCACGAACTCGATCTTCCGCGTTTCGAGGAACTGTTCCAGGTCCATGCGACAACGCCACTTGAGAGGATTTCCGGCGAATTCGACGACGTGCAGATGCTGCATGCTTTGCAAGTCGCTGCTGAAGATGCACTGCAGATCGTTGCCTTCGAGATTCAAGTAGACCAGCTCGTTCAGGTGATGAAAGGCGCCTGGCGCGATGTAGCGAATCGAATTACCGCGCAGATCCAGCCTCTCGAGATTCTCGATGGTGAACCACTCCGTCTCGATCGACGTCAGTGGATTATCCTGGATGGTGAGTCGTTCTAGGGAGTCCAGGCCCCTAAAAGCGCCTGCCTCCATCGTCCTCAGGCCACTGTTTCTGATGATGAGCTCCTCTAATTTTGCGAAATTGTAAAGAGAGCCGGCTGGAAGGTGAGGCAAGTGTCCCTCGTGAAACTCGATGGAGATGGCATCGAGAGGGACGCTCTTCAGCAACGACAGATTGCCGCCGACGCAACGATACTTTGGTTTTGCAGAGTCAAAAATTCTAGTGCAGGTACCCTGAATCCTCTCGTCAAAACGGCTAATCGAGGGTGGCTCGGTCGTCGTCGTCTTCGAGGTGATCATCGTCGTTGGAGGTGGAATCACGGGTGTCCCGGTGATGTGACAGTCGTCGCTCGCGTCGAACAGGGTCTCGCGATTGTACGGTATCCTGCGGGAATCCAGGAAGTTGATCAACTTGGAGCCACACAGGCAACTCCACGGATTACCCGTGACCTTAAGAGAGTATAAATGCGGCGCCTTGCGTGCCATATGCTCCACGCCGAAGCAGTTCATGTTGTTCTCGGAGACGTCGAGGCTGTACAATCGCGGCAATATGTCGAACACTTCATTGGTGATCCGGTAAATGTGATTTCGCGAGAGATCCAAGTGCTGCAATTTCGTCAGGCCTTCCAGCGTCTCGGAGGTCACCGATTGCAGTTGATTGCTGTGCAACGACAGGTAATTTAAGTTGTACAAATCAACGAAAGCGCGATACTCGATTGTCTCGATAGCGCAATCGCGTAATTCCAGCCTGGATAACCAGCCGTCGAAACGGGCGAACGCTCGAGTTGGGATGGTCTTCAGATTCGAGAGGATGATGCGGATGGTGTGCGCCGAGTGAGGGATGACGTCCAATTCCTTCAGGGAGGCAATGCCACTGCAGGTGAAAACTTGCCTCGACGTCTGGGTCCTGTCTTGCATGCAACTACCTCTGTAAATCGGTCTCTCTGTGCGAACCTCGATCGGCGGTCTTATAATGGTTATATTCTTGTTATACAGAGTCTGCTCGAACGAGGTCCAGCGTACCTGACCAGCCGAAGTAGTCCCGGTCTAAAAAAAAAAATTGTTTAGAAGAATGTTTAACAATTACTTCTAAAATTGATCATTTTACTACTTGGGGCGAAATAAAGTTATTTTATTTATTGATAAATATTGAGATTTTTAGACAAATTTTCTGATAGCTATTTTTATAAAAAAAAATAAGATAATTAAAATATCACACATATCAAAAAGTATCTCATATATATATATTGAAATCATATATAAATATTAGATACAAAATGCAAATAAAAAGATTTGGTTATCAAATATTAATTGAAGATATATAAGAATTTTCTGTATTCGCAATAGCATAAATCATTATAAAGAGAAATTATAGATAACTTTACATATATACTATTACCTTCATGTGTGTGCTGTTGCCATGTAATATTACATGTAATACATCTAATATAATATATGTAATATATATCTTATTGCTGCACTTCCTCTCGAGACTACAAATATGTCGCATTTCAAAGAAGACAATGAAAAAAATTGTAAAATGAAACGGCCACTTACGTATGTCTGCTGCCCTCCGTCGTCGATGACCTCGTCCTCGTCGTAGCATCGACCCGAGCTCTCGAATCCGATGTTGCGATCCGTGAGGAACCTCTGCAGGTTCCTGCGACACTCGCAGTACCACGGATTACCGACCGCGTCTAGGCGCTCGAGATGCCGCAGCTGCGCGAGCTCGTTTACCGACAGGCAGCGTAGCAGATTGTGCCGAATGTCCAGATGGCGCAGACTGCCGGCCAATGGGCGCAGCGCGTCCGGCTCGACGCGCGTCACGCCGTTGCGCGCGAGGACCAATCGGCGCAGCGCGACCAGATCGTCGAACCAATGAGCGGCGACCGCGGGCAGCCGGTTGCCGACGAGCGCGAGCCGCTCCAGCTGATGTAGACCGGCGAACGCGCCCGGCTCGATCGCGCCGATCGAGCAATCGCGGAGCTCCAGGCTGCGGAGGCTGTTGCCGAAGCGGAAGAACGCGTACGCGGGCAGACGCTCGATTCGCAACCCCGTGATCTCGAGCCACGTAGTCCTGTCCGGCAGACGGTCCAGGGACGTCAGAGCGCTCGTCTGGAAGCGGTTCCCGGGACGTTCCTGCGAAAGATAAGATAAGGGAAGTGAACTCGTCCTTTTATTTCGCGCACCGATTATCAACATCGGAATTCTCTCTTCCCATGTCGAGAGATCTTTTGATGATCTTATAAGATTTGTCAGTCGCGATAACAACATATTCGAAAGATATTCAGAGGCTGTCCAGAGGACATCGAATATCCTCGGGACGTTTTCTCTGAACGTCTTCGGGATGTGTGTGCTATTAGGATTTCGAGTTTCAATCATAATCGAACGGAATTAATTGCAGAGATCATAGATAATGCAGTAATCTCGCGATGCGCGGATGTTTTTAACTCGTATTATAGATTGCACATAGATTGCGCGTCGCGCGTGATTTTCGTCCCACGGCGAGCCAATCAGCGGCCAGCCCGGCCGGGTCACGTGGTCAGTTCGAATCGAGCGACGTCGACAACTTCGTGTGGCTTCGCGCGCGGGTCTGTGTCTGTGCTTTCGCGTCGAACAAAACGAGTGCGTTTCCTGCGTGTAATGTGTAATAGAACTTTCGGCGTCACGTAACCGCGTGTCGAGATGCGTCGCGATACCCGGTAGCACAAAAGGAATCGCGTGCCGACTCGACGTGACGAGGACGGACTCGGCCGAGAAAAGTGAGAGAGTCGCGACGAACCGTAATAACCGTGTCGTCGATCGCGTGATTTTCGGCGGAACAAAGTGCGGTGCGTGTCGAGTGATATAATAAACGTCCACCCCTCCTCGCGTGTATTGGTGCGTCGATTATATGTCGCGTGTGATTTCCGCCGACCGTGAAGTGAACCGGCGTGTCGCCGCTCGAGTTCAAAGGGCGCCGACCAAAGGAGATAACGATGCCCGAAAACATCCGAGGATTCGCGATGCCGAAAGCGGGATTTCGGCCCGCGACGAGGTGAGTTTGATATTAGTTTTCCTCGTGGTATAGAATGAACGAATGAATTATTGAGGAGCTCTGTGTGGATGGCGTCCCAGAGAGAGAGAGAGAAAGTATATGAAGATATAATAATGATCCAACCTAGAAATGGAGGAAAAAAGATGGAGAAAGTGCAGATTACATTAGCTTGATTAACACATTAACACCATGAGTTACAGAAAATCGTGTGAAATGACGATCTTATCTCTCTTGAAATGAACCATGAGTTGGATCATTATTGTATTAAACATGAATTTCTACTCCTGTTTTATGAAACTTGATTTCGTGGGCGTCCGCGAGAGGAGAAAATTAAAAATTTGGTCTCTTGAAATAGAACACTAGAATTTGCACATTTATATAAAAAAATTAAAATAACAAAATAATACAATTTTCTTTTTAAATTAAGAACAAGGAATAAAAAATAAAAATAATTTAATTTTATACCCCCTCCTGGAAAAAATCCTGCGCTCTGCTTGATATATATCTAGTTTTTTTACTGCTAAATTTAAATGCAAATTTCCGAAATTTTAAAAATAGCAATTATTTGCAAAATTGACTAAAAGTTTGACGCGAACGAAACAAAAGTTGAAATCGTATACTTATAATTAACTTTGATATATATAATGATTGTGTAATATAAATTTTGATGAATCCATTTTTCTATGAAACTTTTATAATATTTCTAATTATTAAATATCATTGGCAATTTATCATCTCATTAACGTTACATTGTGCTGATATTTTTCAACAATTACAATGTGTCACTCTAACTTTCTTTCACGTATAAGATAATAGCAGTAATTAAAGCACAGAATAAGATATTACACGGTCATTAGACGCGCAATTACATTCTTAATTAACTATCATCACGCATTGAACTTTCTTTCGTGATAAACTGCCTTTTTAGGTGATAGAAATCACAGTAATAAAGATTATGATTGTGCGATTATTATTAGGTGCGCAATTACGGTCGAAGAGTATTTCTGTTTTATTCTGAGACCACAACTCGGTTCTCTTTGAAACACGATATCTTGAAAACAACGCAACTCGATTCCGATACTACATATTGCTTTAGTGTCAGTATATACATGTATGTATATGTATTGATTACCTACAACTTGTTCTGCACGCATCAATCAAAAAATGCATTCATCAGAAAGTTTGCAATTTTATCTAATAACGCTATAACACAATAATTTTAAATTCGTGTTATCTAGATCATGTGAACAATTTAAATTTGTTTGAATCAGAAGTTGGGAGGGAATAAAATTAATTTATGTACGTAAAAAAATTTGTTTAATGTAAAAAATAAAAACGCGCGTATGAAAGAGAATAAAAATTTAAGCGGTCAACATTATAAGTATAAAATGATTGTTTTATCACCTCGTGACTACTTATCGGTTCGATGGTTATCATCGGAGATGGGAACGGGATATCGATTTGCGTCATGCACTGCGGAATTTTGTGGACGGTGCAGATCCTCGGACGAACCCTGCATTCGGTTTCTTGAACGATCGATCTGTCGTGAAAGAATTTCTCCATTCTTAGCCGGCATTCGCATAACCACGGGTTGCCGTCGATGCGTACAGTTTTGAGCCTTGTCAAATGCGACAGCTCCTCCACCGAGAGACAATCGAGGTCATTATCGCGTAGGTCTAGAGTCTCCAGTCGCGGTAACGTGCGAAAAACATCGGGCTCGACATGCACCAAGTCGCATCTGGAAAGGAGAATGTACTTTATGTAGCATGCGTGTCGAAAGTGCGCGTATTAATTTTTTAGACTTTCGAAATTCATACAAAAATTGAGAGAACACGTTCAAGAATTTTTTCATCTAAAAAGCCTAGTGCTAAAAATCTACGAATTTTAGAATCTCAGGTATTCGAAAATGTTTAAGTGTCGAAAGTGCGCATATTGATTTTTATAATTTCGAAATTAATAAAAAATCGAGAACATGTTCAAGAATTTTTAAACGTAAAAATCTTTGTGCTAAAAATCCGCGAATTTTAGAATCTCGATATTCGAGGATGTTAGAATGTTGAAAGTGTGCGTATTGATTTTTAGAATCTCGAAATTAATAAAAAAAATTGAGAACGTGTTCAAGAATATTTAAATCTAAAAATCCTTGTGCTAAAAATCCGCGACTTTTAGAATCTCAGATATTCGAGGATGTCAGAACGTCGAATGTGTGTGCGTATTGATTTTTGAGAATCTTGAAATTACTAAATTAATAAAGAACATGTTGAAGAATTTTTAAATCTACAAATCCTTGTGCTAAAAATTCGCGAATTTAAAAATTTCAGATATTCGACGATGATAGAATTAAAAAATCCGAAAAACTTGAAAGATTTTAATAATTGAGAATAATGCGATCGAGATATTAATTATGTAATTTAGGATGAATTTTATAGATGCACTCTTAATTCCATAGATTCTATTAATCGCAATTATTTTCTAATCAATGATATTCGGATACCGGATGACGTCACGCTCGCAATGGTACAGCGAGTAACTAGGTCATCGACACTATCGAATATATAAGACGCTTTACATAAGTCGCTCCATCTGACCTCGATTGTTAATGTCCTTTAATTTTATAGATGTAACATGTTTCTCGAAGCAACATCATCATGACACTTTATACGCATCGAATGCCAAAACAAAACATTATTCAAAAAAATAATCTCCATAATTGATAAAAATAATAAAATGTTCAATCATTATTTTCTACTGATATATATTGCATTTTTAAAAAATAAGCTTAATCATTAGCTTTTTCATATTTCTATGAGCGTTCTCTCGTGATGATTTTACTATGTTTTCTAATTTATTATTATACAAGTCATTAATTTTGATAAGAAGCCGATTACCTGTCCAAGATCAATCGCCTGAGATTCGGTAGGTGACGGAACCACGCGGTTTTCACCACGTGGATCCTCGTGCCGTGTAATGTCAACCAATCGAGTCGCTGCAGGCCGCGAAACGCAGCGGGTTCGATGGCATTCACGTGACAATTATAGAACGATAAGCGGCGGAGATTCGGAAATCGTCGAAACGCGTCATCGGGGATCACGTGGAAGCGCGAAACCGAGAACTCGATCCACTCGGTCTCGTCGGACAGCTCGTCGAGGTCGCTCAGGTCGCCGTGGATGCACGCGTAGGCGATCGACCGCTCGTTGTCCGCGATCGGGGCTAAGCTGCATTTACCATGCACTCGGCCAATTAGACCGACCAACGCCCAAAGCAGCAATATCGAATTGAACATCCTTCCTCTCGTAATCACGAATGTCAGTGGGTCACCTGGAAGGTGTGACGATTTAGTATGATATCGAGTCGAATGTTCAATGCAAAATTGTATTCAAACTGATACACGGAGAGAATTTTCTCTTAGAATTTACTCTGAAAATCATGGTAATCGTGAGACAATATGGTATTCAAAGAATTTTTATTATAAGATTTTCTCTAATTAAATACTTTCCACAATAAAAAATATTAATATATGTACCTAGTAAAATTAATCAAACATATGTTATATCTTATTATAGTATAGATATTAATATTTTTGTTGTGGTAAATATTAATCAGAGAAACTCATAAAATTCTTCCACGATTACCATGCTTTTCAGGGTAAATTCTAAGAGAAAATTCTCTATGGTACGTTTCACATATATATAGAAATAAATATTAATATACATATAAACCGAAAATTTAAAAGATATATATGCGTGAAAATGTATCTAGCTAATTAATATTTCAAACTTTTGAAATTCACGTATTTACGTAATAAAATTTAAATATTTTGTAAACTCACATCTCAAAAAAATTAAAATTATTTATTCTATTATTTAACAATCAAATACACGCGTATACACAGATACACGGAATTGAAAGTAAAGTATTAATAATTTCCGTAATCGAAGTATGTATTGTAAATCATAGTAAATATCTCCCTTTACCTTAAAATTGATACTGCGTAATTTCGCCCACTCGTTTCTATGTTCGTCGAGATCTTTTTAATCCTATACAAATACGTAATAAATATTAATTTCGATATTACAGAATTCATTAAGAATACTTTTAATACACATAAAATAATAGAATAAATTACGAGTAAATTAATCATTGCAAGCTAAATGTATTTGCGTATCGCGATTAGCGAATTTCGCGATGATCTCACAGTCAGAGAATAAACAGAAATTTAACGTGTTGATTCGTTATAAAAGTGTCCTGATGTTTGGCTAATGCCAAATTTTCGTCATGTCGAAATCTCGTTGCGTTTTGCTCGAACTCGTTGTAAAATAATTCGTAAAACTTTACAGTACTATTTGCGTATAGCTCAGAATTTTATCTGATAAACTTGACGTAACGGTGTTTGCATTGAGCGTACTAAAAAGAGTTAAATAGATTTTTCGCATATCTAATGGCTCACCCGAGTCACCAGTCTGCATAGCAGATGTGATTCTCTTATGCGTGACCATAATGAAGAAAAACCAAGGTCGAGAGAATAGATTAAGTTATTTAACACACGTTTAATGCGAAATCACGAATCCTGTTTCCAAAGTTAATTCTTTTTTCAAATTTTACGTTATATATGTATGCAATTTCTTAAAGATCGCGCACACACACAATCTCGTTTAATTCACAACAAACTTAATTTTAAAAAATCTCAGATATAGAACATGATGAAAGATTCTGAAGTCGAGTCTCGTAAAAAAAAAAAAAAATAAAATGTATTTTTTTAACATAATCGCGCTAATCGTAACATCGATATGCAGAAGACCTTCGTACTTAATTTGCGTTTCGGATCGACTCACCGCGAATGCCGTAATTGTAAACAATATCGATTTTGTCACAGGCACTAACGACGCGTCGCGCGGCACTGACGTTCCGCATCTGTCAAAAAAGCGGAAGAGCTCCGCGATCTATCGTGCCGCCGTCACCGCTGCCACCCACGGGTCGGTCATTCCGTTTCTGCCAAGAAGAGACTTGATTTTCCGCGGCGACGACGACTACTTCCCCCTTCCCTCCCACCCTACAATCCTCGTTCGATCGCTCGAAGCGATGCGCGCGCTCCTTTAATGGCACTTATTTTTCCGATCGCGTTGTTGCATCGGTCGCATTTTTCTATCACAATCAGTCACGTTCTCATATTTTTCTGATGTATTCAAACAAAATCAGCCTCTGACTTTTGAAGATTATTCGTATCGAAAGAATAGAGAAACCCGAGGAAACCTCGTATGTGGAAAGTGCTCTAACAAGCCGAGCTTGTTGTATGCGGAAATTTACTTAATTAGATGTTTGTGCGTTCGAAAAAAAAACAAACCGTTGATTTGGAGAGGCGCGCTAATGCATTTTGCTCTTGCGTAAAAAATGTGAACGTTCTAATGGCGTTTCATATATCGGAATCGATATATAAAGATCGATGGAATTATACTATACGAAAGAGAGAGAGAAAATGCATCGTCAAAAAATGTGATCCGTCCGATAAGTCACGACATTTGTCGCGTCGATAGGTCGAAATGTCTGAGCTTGACTGAGCTCGTGAATCAGCTGCTTCCTCGTTATATAAGCTCGTAAGGCCAAGGTTGCCCTTGTTCCCTGTGCCGGTAGTGGATGCACACCGATTTCTGCCTGCAACGACCTATCTTTAGCACGGTGCGCTTTAGTTTGGCATAAAACTACGACGCGTGTTACAGGGTGACGCACAATTTGCGACTCAAACGGGCGGGGGTGGTTGAAAGTGGAATTCAATTTCTGTATGCACAACATCAGGAAAACATATCAAGATTCCACGAAAATCTTCCTCTGCGTTATTCTCTCTTCGCAAAGTATTTGAATAAAAAATTATGTTTAGCTATATATTTTAATATACACTTATATAAAATTACGTATATGATTAAAACGTCAAATATATAAATATATATATTTTTAAAATAATTATATATGCTGATAAAATGTGATCATATTTTTCTTACCCTCGTTAAAAATGACATAAACACCTCTAAATCATTCACAGAAAATTATCGTCCATCTTGTCATTGAGAAGTCACTTTTGGAAAGGCACGTTTAAAAAAATTATGCTGCATTTTGTATAGGAAATAATTAACAAGAAAAATAATTTCCTCCCACGTGTCGAGAGATACTCGGGTAGCCAAATGATTAATGCGAATATTATACGGTCGAATCTCGCGATCAAACTTTGATTTTTTTCCTCCCCGTGTAAAAGCCCGCTTCCTTCGCGAACTCGCGTTTCCTTTTGGTGACCTATGGTACTGTACGGACGGTCCACACCTGCGTCAATCCGCTACTACGCCCCGCGAAAATGGTAGCGCTCTTCGAACCGTCAAGGTCTCTCGCTCATTGCTGACGACGACGACGACGACGAAGCCTTCCTCGTCTCTCTTGATCTTCTCCTTCCCCATATTTTCTTCCCTTCTCTTTCCCTCGATCTAGCTATCTATCTTGGTCTCTCTTAGGTAACTGCATTTACGACGACACACACACATACGCGGTGCATATATACCGTGAGGAAGTGTGTACTACCTCAAAACACTCTATTTGTCTCCCTTAATGTTTCCTCTTTTCCCTCGTCTGCTTTCGCATCTGTATATCATGCTTTAATTTTTACGCAAATCCTCGGCAATAAATCAAGTAGAGATCAAATTTGCAATTTTGGAAATAAGCATATTTGTCTAGTTTCAAGCAGACTTGGTAATTTCTTTAACAAAATTAAAATTCATGAAGGCGCAGGATGTTATCGTGATAGCGAATGTAAATTGACAACGAATTTGTAGTCGGTTCTTTCAAAGAACATTGAATATCTTTGTTATTAAACGTAAGGAGTTAAATGTTTTGAATATTTCAGTTATTAAACGTGAAGAAATAAAATCTTTATTACGTCAAAGTTATATGCTTGAATTTAGAACATTATGATTTGCATCTTAATTGCATCCCGGAATGTGTCTCGGTATTTTAAATTTGAGCTGAGAAAAAATGGATTATGAATTAGTAGAAAAAAATAATTATTAAATTACAATATATATAAATTTTTTATTCTTTACTGCAATTTAATTAATTGATTATAAATAATTGTGAATTATTTTTGAATAAAGATAATATTATTTTCTTCTTGTTTATTATCTGATTGTTTGCTATTGAGCTGTATCACATTAAAAAACACATTACAAAATTAATAGTCACATAAAGCATGCATGGCCGCTCATATAAAGTCTGTAATTATGACGAGATGTAATGTGTACCACTATAGTACATACATATATGTATGTTATTATCTGATGCGTTGGTAGCTCGCGTTACTTGTGTATCACGATACGCATTTTGTTATGCAATGTCACGGCCTAGTCCAGAAATGCGCATTATGTCATACAGTCCGTGGAGGTCTAACTGCACTTTGGCAGAAATATAATCAACAAACGAACGATCTCTTGCGTACTATATTTACTCAATTGATTTTTTAAATTATATGTACCTACATATTTAGAAGATATGATTACAGGATCGATGAGATATAAAAAGAAATATATTAAAATATTTTAATATTACATTTCTTGAAAAATTAACATTTTCATATTTTCATAAAAAATTTGCGAAATTATCTTTTTTCAAATTCTTGGTCTAATTGTATCGATTAATAATGCTTGATCTTATCTGTCTTATATGTAATTAAACACATGCGTGCATACAATTTGCGCGTTTATCGAATGAACAAATAATTAAATAAAATTCAAGCAAAAAATATCCTTTTACAATCGTGGGAAATATACAAATTAGAAATATCTTCAGCCATAGGTTTTAAATTTTATTTTTGAACAAAATCATACAAGGAACTCAAAATCGCGCATTTCTAGAAACTTGATGTTAAGACTTTGAGACTTGGAAAATTGCGTCTGCGAGGATCGTCATGGTGCATCTGTCCATTAATCCATCTATCCATTTACCCATCCAGCCGTCCACTTTGCCCATCCAAGCCGAATGTTAAAGACGATGCGTCGTCATCGGACCGGCAGTCTCGCGCAGGCTGTCGTTCGCGACGCATGCAGTTTCGTGTTCGTTCCTTCGTTTCGCAATCGCCGTTATAAAGCGACAACATTAGGTACCGCGATCTTTTGCGATTCTGCGACGATCAACAGCGTCTTCGTGGTGTCGCGTGAGCAACTTCGTGAGTATACGCGAAGTCGACAGGTTGTAACAATCGGGCTGTTATGCTCAATAGATCGCGCAATCCTCTGCCGGGATCGGTTATAATGATACAATGATCGATGTTGTCATTTATCTTTTGTGCGTGGAATCATTGTTATTTATCTATTACGTGAAGTATGAAATCTAAATTAATTTCCATGCGATCGCGTAATTTATTCAGTTAGAAAAAACATGCATCTTATATTTAATTAAACTCACGTTTGTAGATGAATACATAGAGATTATTATTATAATTAAATGTGTGTATTTCTAATTATTACGAAATTATGGGTGCAAATTTTATGTATGATATTCTATAGTATATTTTTTCTAATACACAAGTAATATTGTCAAAGTAAATTTTTATTATAACGTTTATCGTGTATTAAGAGATTTTATTCCAACAAAGTGTCATAATTCAAGTTGAAGAAATCTTTAAGCACGTCTCAGGAATTTCTGACATTTTCTAACATTTACGTATATGGCTTAAAAATCGTATATTTATTATTATTCACTTTTCTATTTACTCAGTCTTATCGTACACATATTTTTTTATTAATTAATTCGCAGAATTTGTGACAGTAGAAACATTTTAAGTCATCTTTGCGGGATGTAATAGAAAAGGGGTAATGGGCCTTTTTCGGTCATCCATAAAAAATAGGCTGTGCAATCTCTTGCGTGCAGGATACTGATTGAGGGCAGCCGGAAGAAGAGTGCAACCGGCGGAAAAATGGATTCTCACGACGGTAGCGCGAGGTTCTCCCGTCGCGATCCGTGGTTAGATTTACGTGGGATGCCACGAGCCATAATCACGGCAGGTGGGTAGAGCCGAACAGGTATTTGGAGCGCGACAGACAGACAGGCGAACGAGAGAAGGGCTACTGTTCAGTGTTGCAAAAAAAACGCGTAAAAAAACAAAAAACGCGAAGAATGCGCGAGTCGGTAAACGATCTAGCAAATGAAATTAGCGGCGATTAGGTCAGAGGGTCACCCACGTAACGTGAACCAAGATCGCGAGAAAAAAAACGATTATAAACTTATAAGCGCTAAGATCTGTAAATAGTCTTCTTTTACGAAAGTTAAGTTTCGCGCGAAAAGAATTAGAAGTTCGTGTACCGTGTAAAAAAATTTTGAAACCGACAGAATATCATTTAAACGGCGGCGACTTCTTATAACATTCATCAACGTTGATTAAATGATGTATCATCGGTCATCTCGAGAGACGACGATGACGGAAGCGTTGCTCTTGGAACACTAGACCGTAATTTACTGGAATGCGGGCATAATTCGACAGAAATGTGTGGAGAAAGATAGACCAAATAAACTTAATTTACAATACTTTTTGTACATTTTTTGAGAAATATAAATGTGTACATATATGCACGGAGAGAATTTTTTCTTACAATAGAATTTAATCTGAAAATCATGGGATAATCGTGGGATAATATGGCATTGGAAAAATTTTATAAGAGTTTCTTATTTGATTAATATTTTTATCACAATAAAAAATATTAATATGTACATAGTAAATTGTACTTAAAAATTAATCGAACATATTTTATATCTTATTGTGGTAGATCTTATATATATTGTCCTACGATTACCATGATTTTTAGGGTAAATTCCAAGAGAAACTCCGTGTAGATTTGTATGTATATATTTAAAGAGTTAGACTTCTGAAAGCTATATGTTATTAGAAGATTCTAATATATGTTTATTTCCATATATAATATATCTCATTTCAACAAGATATGACTAGAGCTTTTCCCCCAGATAGTAAATTGACAGGATATAATTCGTCCTCCTTTATGAGATACTTTAGTTGCCGACTAGTGCCTTCCTCTTTCCACTGAATATCCCGACTTATAATTAATGAATTAATTGGTAGCGAGACGCGCATCGCGATAATGATCGAGTACGCGCCGAGTGCAGCGACACAACAAAGTCTGAGTGATTGAGAGCGCGAAAAGGACCCGACCGTCACGTTATAAAAGAGAGAGAGAGAGAGAAATCACTCGCGGAATAAGACCGAAAGGAACGGTGGCAGAATGGAATGGAGCATGGCATGGTATCGCATGAGACGTGGTCAGTTCGTACTGAACTGCCGAATCGGACGCGTCTCGAGAGGCGCGTCTCTTCTCGCGAGAGGGTCCGCGACTTTTCGCGCGCGGATTTTCGCCGACCTTCGACATCGTTTTTCCTCTCTCTCTCTCTTCGGACAAGAGGCTGCTGGCGTTCGCGAGAAACGAAAGAATTGAAGATACCTATGTGCAGGTGTGCCCCCTCGTCGCACGCGATTCCTCTCACGTCGGTTTCCGCGATTTGCATGCCGACGACGACGCATGCGACTTGTCTATAA